CGCGGCGGCCGCGGGCCGGCCCGGCCGCGCGCGCGCCGGGGCCTCAGCGGCCGCGCTTGCGCGGGGGCGCCGCCACGGGGTGCGGGGCCGTCGGAGCGGCGCGTTTTTGGGGCCCGGGCGCGCCGGCGACGGCCCCGACTTCGTCGTCTTCGGCGCCGTCGTCGTCGTCGTCCGAGGAGTCGTTCGCGTCGCCTTCCACAGCGCCGAGGGCACTGTCGCCGACGGCGACGACGTCGTCGTCGTCCTCCTCAAAGCCCAGGGCCGCGCCATCGACAAGAACGATGCCGTCGGGCTGCTCGGGGACGTTGCGGACGTACTTCCAGAGGTCGCCGAGCCCGCACTGGACCGCCTTCCCGTTCGCGTCGACGTCGGCGACCCACTGGCCCTCGTACCACGAGATCCCGACGATGTCTGCCTCGAAGAGCTCGCCCTCGTCGTCGTCCAACATCTTGGCCCCGACGAACTTGTCCCAGAAGCGCTGCTTCGCCGCGTCGCCGCCGTCGATGAGCGCGTCGGCCTCCCAGTGCTCCACCCAGAGGTTGATCTCCCGGGCCGGCGCCGCCGCCGTCATGCTGCCGCTCGCGGGACCGAAGAGCCCGCCCAAGGTGAGCTGCGGCGGCGCCTTCGCCATCAAGCCGGCGAGCGTCGGCGCGTCGAACGCGCCCAAGTCGTCCGATATGCGCTTCATGCCCGCGGAGAAGGCCAAGGCGTTGCTCGGCGTCATCGTCTCCCACCCGTCGCCCAGCTGCCGCGCGAGATCGAGCGGCGCGTGGTTCGGGTCGTCGCCGCCGCGGCGGAACATGCCCACCAAAGCCGCCGTGTGCACCGAGACCGAGTCGCCCTCGGCGTGCTTCGCGGGGACCATCTTCGCGATGCCGTCCTTCTGGTTCATCAGCATCTTGCACAGATTCTTGTCCTCCTCGTGCTTGGAGAGCTGGAAGGAGATGACCTGGAGCTTGGCCTGGTGCGCGAGGAGGAGCGTGACGACGGCCACGCCGCTGTGGCTCTTCTTCGTCGTCGCCTGGCCGTCGACGAACATGGAGGCCTTGCCGAAGCAGGCGGCGACGACGTTGGCGTAGGCGATCGGGTACTGGAACTTGACGCCGGACCGGGGCAAGGCCTGGAAGTTCATGCCCTTGCCGCCGTACGTGCTGCCGACGGCGATCGCGCGGTCCCGGCCCTCGACGAAGCGTGCGGCGCCGGCCTTCGAGCCGTGCTCGAGGACCACCAGCGCGCTGATCTCGAACTTGCTGAAGTTGCCCTTGGAGTTCTCGTCGAGCCACTCCTGCGGCGACTCCAGGCGCCGCTCGAGAGCGGTGCATCGGGCCGACTTCGTGGCGCCGAATTTGCCCGAGGCGAACTTGTCGCGGCCGACGCGGTTGCGCTCGAGCTCGAGGGCCGTCGCTTCGGCGACCGCTTTCATGTGCGCCAGCTGCACGGCTGGCGCCACCGACGCGGCCGCCGGAGCCGGCGCCGGCGCCGGAGCCGTCGCTAAGAGGGGCGGCGGCGGCGGCCCGACGGGCGCGGTCGTCGTCGCCGCGGCGGCCGCGGCCTTCTCCTTCTTCTTCTTGGTGCGGCCCTCGGCCTCGTTGCGAGTGAGGCTAAAGGTACGCTCGCGGCTGGCGTCCATGGCGTCGATGGCCGCGCTCCGCACCTCGAAGGACTGGTTCACGGCCGCCATGTACGTGCCGCCGTTCACGGTGACCCAAGTGCGCGCCATGTCGGCCGCGAGGCCGATGCCGTTGACGACCTTGGCGGAATTGCGCGCCACGTCGTCGATGCGCATGCCCGGGCAGCAGCGGCGGAGCTCCTCGTGGACCGGCGTCTCGTTCACGCCGGACGTCGGCAGGTCGGGCCGCAGGCTGTCGGAGTACGCGTTCGATTTCGCCAAGTCGATGTGGTCCTTGAGAGCCTCGTAGTTCAGCGGCCAGAAGGAGAACTGCTCCATCGTGAGCCCGCCCCGGGGGCGGTCCGTCCGGGGCAGGGGCTCCCGGGTCAGGCACTCGGCCTTCCAGGAGGAGAGGAAGTCGACGACGGTCTTGTACTGCTCCGCGTTCTCCTCGGGCGCGACGGCCTTGTCCTCGACGTTCCGGCCGCGCGAGCAGGCCCACATCCGCTCCAGCAGGGTCGTGTACCGGGCGGGGCCGCCCAGGCCGGGCTCGCGGAGCTCGAGCTGCCGTAGCAAGCCCGCGACCTTCGCGATGGCCACGGAGTTGCTCGTCTTCATGGCGTCCCGCCGCTGCAGGACCTCGACCGTGATGGGCTTGGCGAAGGCGGTGTGCCAGACGACGGCCTTGTCGCGCGTGTTGAAGTAGGAGACGAGCTGGCGGTCCTTGTACTTCGACGCGTCGATCTTGCCCGCGCCGACGAGCTTGCCGTCGTCGCGCACGCCGCGAAGCCCGTGGACGATCGTGTCCATCTGGAAGGGCTCGTAGCCGGGGAGGATGATCGGGTTCTCGTACCCGGTCTGCTCCGCGTGCTTGAAGTCGTGCTGGATCCCGTCGGTGCCGTAGAAGAAGGGCACGTCCTGCGCCGTCGCGCACGTCGCGAGGACCGTCGCGGTCGTCCCGGTGGTCCACGCCTTGAAGTCGCGGAGCGCCGCCAAATTCGCCACGTGGCCGTCGCCGCCGCCGTGGATGAGGTAGCCGCCAGCCCCGAAGACGTCCTCGGCCATGCTCTTGAAGACCGCGTAGAGCAGCTCCGCGTTCTCCGCGCCGATCGGCAGCGCCTTCACGAAGATGCCGTGGGGCGTCTTCTTGAACATGTCCGAGAGCACGAGCGTCAGGAAGCCGTCGGCGAGCTCGGCCTCGGGCACCAGCGACTTGCCGGCGAGGTCGCTGTACTTGAGCATGGCGCCCTGGAGGTCAGAACGCGTCGCGCCGCCGAGCAGGTAGGGCTCGCCGTCCTCGTACACGATCATCGACTGCTTGTTCACGTGCACCTTGTCGAAGGTGACCGCGACGACGCACGGGTCGACGCCCGCGGTCTTGAAGGTGGAGATCGCGCTGATGATGGTGTCGTTCGCGCCGAGCGTGAGCACGGAGCGGAGCGTGTACGGCGTCCCCGCGTAGTCCTTGAGCTGCTTGTAGGACGGCAAGAACACGAGGTTCTTGGACTTGATGTCCCAGCGCTCGTCCTTGGGCGTGGCCTGGCCGAGGAGCTCCTTGTACAGGGACTTGCCGATGCTCGGGTAGAGGCGCGCGATCCAGCGCAGGACCTCCTGGCCCTCGAAGTACGCGTCCCACGGCGCGGAGACCTTGTGGCCGTTGTGCTTGAGGATGACGAGGCACGTGACCACGAGGACGTTGTACGTGAGGGTCCTCTTGGGCAAGAAGGGCCGCGCCATGGGCCAGAGCTTGTCGAGGAGGTCGCCGTCGCCGTCGGCCTTGGCCTCGACGAATTTCTCAGTGACGCGGCGCTCGCGCGGCTCGTCCTCGTCGTCATCATCCATGGCCTCGGCGGGCTTCTTCTCCTTCTCGATGTCGTGCTCGCACTCGGCGAAGAGCGCGTCGGCCGTCCGCGCGGCGCCCGTGGGCCAGCGGCTCTGCGTCTTGTCCTTCATCGACGTCATCTTCAGCACGTCGCTGATGAACGTCTGGTTCGCGATGGTTCCCTTCTTGCCCGTCTTCTCGCACTTGAGCGGCGACTTGGACAGCATGGCCCGGAGGACGACGACCGCGCAGTCGCCGCAGAGCGTGTACTTGCCGCTGTCGCCGCTCTCGACGAACGAGTGCTCCTCCAGGCCCTTGTCGGTCATCGAGAACCGAATCGCGTGCTTGAGCTCGGTCTTGCTCGCGTCGTGGCTTGCATCGCCGTCGCAGGCGTGCCAGGCGGCGGTGGGGCTCGAACGGACGCGGCCGGAGCACGCGACCATGCTCGTCAGTCGACGCTCTCTAGCGCGCTCGGTTTCATGATCTTGAGTCCGAGCCTAAATAAATAAATAAATAATACGTTTTCCACGCCTCCCAGGCGCGTCCAAACGCGGTCCCAGCCCCAGATTTTAGGACAGGATCCCCGTCAGTTACCACCTCCGAGTAGGAACCCAAAGTTGCTTGGTTATAGGCGTCGCAGAAGTCGGAATTCATTTTCCATCACCCCCCCCGTCGCGGGCGGCCGCATAGATGTTGTCGCACTTGAAGACGGCCGACGGCAGGTTCTTGGCGGTCTCGAGGTCCTTGCAGCCGGACGGGACGGCGGCCGAGACGCACCACGAGCATGCCTTGTCGGCGTCGCACGCGTCCTGGTCCGTGTACGCCGTCTCGCAGTCCGCGGCGGCGGCGGCGGCGCGCGCGGCCGCGGCGGCGGCGCGCGCGGCCGCGGCGGCGGCCGCGGCCTCCGCCGCGGCGCGCGCCTCCTCCTCGGCGTCCTCCTCGGGGAGCTTCGAGATGAACGCCGTGAGGTTCGTCGCGAGCTTGTCGACGCAGTGGTCGCAGCAGACGTAGACGGCCTGGCCGTTGTTGAACTTCACGACCGGTCCGTCCTCCTTGGCCACGAAGGATTCGCCGGAGACGGGGCACACGAGGGTCTCGCCCGCCTTCGACGGCGAGATCGGCGCCGAGGCGTCCGCGGTCGCGTTGAGGAACGCCGCGGGGTCCGCGTTGAATTTCTTGACGCAGCCCGCGCCTCCGATGGCGATGGACTGTCCGCCGGCGAAGCGGACGAGGGGGTGGTCGGGGTAGGACGCCGCGGAGAAATTCATGCCGCAGACGGGGCAGTGCCAGTCCGGGGCGGCGTTGACCGACGCCAGGGCAGCGAGGAAGAGGGCTGCGAAATTCATGATCGACGGTTTTGCCGCTGGGGCTTGTGCTGCTGGGGCTGTGCTGCTGGGGCTGTGCTGGGGCTGTGCTGCTGTGTGCTGCTCCCGAACGGCCGACGCGGGCTGCTCCCGGACGACGAGGTCGGTGCGCAAAGGCGGCAAGGTCGGAGATGCAGCATGTGATCGATGCGGGATAGGAATTTCAAACCCCGACCTCACCAAGAGCTTGCTCTCCGGGCCGACTCGAGCAGATCAAACTCCCGCAGTTTACGAACGCCATCATGGCCGTCGTCTCTGAGGCGCGCGCGAGCCCCAAGCGCGCGTGCAAGACCGAGGTGAACTACCAAAACCAGGAGGACGAGGACGAGGACTCGGACGAGCTGGTCTGCAAGCCGAAGGCGAAGCGCCGCAAGGCGTCGACGCTGACGCAGGCCCAGGTCGAGGAGGCGTGCGCCGCGGGCGACGCCTACGTCGCCTCGGTGCTCGGCGCGCAGACGTCGTCCTTCGGCGAGGGCCTCCTCTTCTGCATCATCAGCAAGTCGCGGTGGGCGAACGTGAAGCCCATGGAGGCGCGGCTCCTCGCGGGCGGCCTCGACCCGAAGCGCATCCTCTGGATCGTCGGCGGCGGCGAGCGGTCCGAGTACGAGGCCGCCGGCGCCCAGGGCCGCGTCGTCGAGGGCGGCGGCCTCTGCAACTCGCGGAACCTCGCGCTCGACGAGGCCCGGAAGTCGTCGAACGCGTGCGTGCAGCTCAGCGACGACCTCAAGAAGTGCGAGGTCGTGCGCGCGGGGCCGACGCTCGCCCACTTCCACGACGAGGCCCTCTGGACCAAGCCCGAGAGCCTCAAGAAGGCCAACGCGGCGGGCGCGGACAAGCTCCAGGCGACGCCCGTCGCCGCGGCCGCGCTCCTACTCAGCCTCCTCAAGGCCACGGACCGGCGCCTCGCGGGCTGCTACCCCAACGCGAACCCGGGCCTCGCGGCCGGCGTCGCGCCGATCGGCGGCCACCACTTCATCGTCGGCGACTGCCTCGTCGTCGACGTCGCGCGGACGGACCTCCGCTTCGACGAGCGCATCACGCTCAAGGAGGACTACGACTACACGGCGCAGCACATGCACGAGCACGGCGCCGTCTGCCGCTCGAACCGCGTCCTCTGCCTCTGGGAGCACTACTCGAACGCCGGCGGCGCCGTCGACGCGCGCTGCGACGCGCGCGAGCAGCACAGCATCGCGCTCCTCAAGCACAAGTGGCCGGGCGCCTTCCGCCAGCACGGCACGCGCGGGCCCAACGAGGTCACCTTCGCCTGGGACCAGCGCGACGTCTCCCTCGGCGGCAAGAAGAACCAGCCCCGGCCGCCCGCGCCCGACGGCATCGACGACGTCCCCATCGAGCGCAAGCCCAAGGACGGCCAGAAGACGATGACCTCCTTCTTCAAGAAGAAGTGAGCGCGTCGCAAGAAGCGCGCGTCCGCGATAAAGAAAGACGGCAACATGTGGGTGCTTGAACGGCAAGCAATCAGGGAGAGCCTGAGCGATGTTCCTCGAGGCTTCGGCCTGAGAGCGTCGTGATGTCCGCCTTCGACAAGGCCGCGTCGCGGTTGCACCCGGACGCGTGCTCCACGCTGCCACCAGCACCACAGGAGCTGCCGCGGGTCGGCGACCGCCTCGCCGTCGCGGGCCTCGTCAAGGGCTCGAGCGGCGAGGTGTTGTGCCGCGTCGCCGCCATCCGCCGCGCCAAGGACAAGGGCGAGGCCAAGGCGGCGCGCGGCGACAAGATCTACGAGCTCGCCGTCGACGGCGGCGACACGCGGAAGACGCGGCTCCTGCACCTCGCGTGGCGCGTCGCGGCGCGCGCGGCGCCTTCGCCGACTCCGGCGAAACCGACAAAAGCGAAGAAGCGGGCCCGCGCCGCGCCGGACTTCCTCGAGGCCCTGCGGCGCGGCGGGCGCATCGTCGCGCCCATGGTCGGCGGGTCGGAGCTCGCGTTCCGCCTGCTCTGCCGGCGCCACGGCGCGACGGCGGCCTACACGCCGATGATGGAGGCGACGCGCTTCGTCGAGGACGCGGCGTTCCGGGCGCAGTACCTGCAGACCCACGCCGAGGACCGGCCCCTCGTCGCCCACTTCTGCGGCAACGACCCGGGCGTCGTCGGCCGCGCGTGCGCGCTCGCCGCCGCGACGGGCGGCGTCGACGCCGTCGACCTCAACCTGGGCTGCCCGCAGCGCGTCGCCTTCGCGGGCCACTACGGCAGCTACCTCATGCGCGAGGAGGACCGCGATCTCGTGAAAAGCATCGTCGCCGCCATGCGGCGGAGCGTGCCGCGGGAGATCGCCGTCTGCGTCAAGATCCGCCTCATGGACGACTTCCCGGCGACGCTCAAGCTCGTCGAGGATCTGCGCGATGCCGGCGCCCAGGTCGTCGCCATCCACGGCCGCAAGCGCGCCACGTGGCACCGCAAGGGGCCCGGCGCGCGCGACGGCCCCGCGGACCTCGATTCCATCGCGCGCGTCGTCCGGGCCGTCGGCGACTCCGTCGTCGTCGTGTCCAACGGCAACGTCCGCGACCGCGGCGACGTCGACGCGGGCCTCGCGACGACGGGCGCCGCGGGCGTCATGTCCGCCGAGGGCCTGCTCGACGACCCCGCGCTGTTCAGCGGCCCCGCGCTATCGGACGACGCCGCCGAGGACCTGCGAAAACTGAAACTCGCGGCGGACTACCTCGACCTCGTCGACGCCCACGGCAACCCGGCGGGCTACCGGTCCGTCGCCTTCCACTGCCGCCGCGTCGCGAAGCGGCCCCTCGAGGCGTACGACGCGCTCGACGACCTGCTCGACGCGGGCGACGCGGCGGGCGCGCGGCGCGTCCTCGACCGCTGCGCGCGCTTCGCCCGCGGCGACGAGGCCTACGTCGCCGACCCGGCGCGACGCGCCAACGCCAAGTCGCGCGCCGCGAAGCGCCTCGAGACGCGCGCGGCGCGGAAGCGCTTCGAGGAGCGGATGATCCGCAAGGCGAAGCGCGAGGGCAAGGCCCTCGACTTCTACGTCAAGCAGGGCGCCGACGCGCCCACCAAGGCCGACCTCGACGCCTACCGGGCCATGGCCGACGAGGCCGCGCGCCTCGCGGCCTGGAACGCGAAGCACAAGCAGCACTGCCTCACGTTCCACCTCGGCAAATGCCCCCGCGGCGACGCCTGCGCCTTCATCCACGACAAGATGGACGACGACGACGTGCTGCATGGGTAATGGCTATTTTAGGGATCGCCGGGGGTTTTGGAGCACTGCACGATGACGACGAGGACCTCGTCGGGGAGCCGCTTGCCGAGGTACAGGTCCAAAAGGCGCACGAGCCGCTCGCGCTCGGCGCGCTCGTAGTTCGCGAAGCTGCCGGCCGCGCGGATTTTCTCCAGGTAGGCCCAGCAGCGGCGCGCTTTATGTGGCTCGCGACCAAGGCCTTCCCGCCAATTCCGACCGTACGTGGACGGGTACGCTTCGTCGATCTCTTGCTCGTCCCATCCAAATGGTGTGATCGCACATCGCCGCTGCCACTCACGCTCGCAAGCTTCGCGAGCATGTGCCGCGTCAGTTTCCCTCGCGGGTTGATTATAGAAATTCGGACCTGCCCGAGCGTGCGCACCGCGACGAAGGAGGAGAGTCAACACAGGAAGTTGACCGTGAAGTGTTGCGGTGAGCAGAGGCGTTGCACCGTCATCCCGATAAACGTTGACCGACGCGCCCGCCTCGAGGAACGCATCGATAACATCTGAGCGACCACATTCCGCGGCCAACATCTGCGGATGGTTGTCGTCATAATTGGCACCACCAGCGATGAGTGCGGAGACGATACTCGCTAATCCGCCAATCGCGGCGGGATGGATAGGGCTGAACCGATTAGGGTCAGCGCCCGCGGCCAACAGGAGATTGACCACGCCCACGTGTCCGATGCATTTACCCTTATAGAACATGGTCGTGGAATAAAGCGGAGTAACATTAAAGAGCACTGCACGCGAGACTCTCAGATCATCAATGTCAAGCACGTCGGCGCGGACATTGACGTCGGCTCCGGCGTTTATTGCTTCTCGACACACGTCTTCATCCCCCATACAGCATCCGATCATGAGCCGCTCTTGAGCGCTAAGATCGACGATCAGCTGCCGCTGTGCGGCGTCCATCCCAGCCAGCTGTGGCGAGACTCGCCAGTTCACGACCCAACGCCTCTCCACAACCTTACCCCTCCCCGCACGACTGGGCTCACGCGGCTTTGTTTTTTGTTTCTCCCAGGCGACCTTACTTCGCGATCTCCGCGGGCTTCTTCGCGCAGTGCTTCTTGTGGGTGGCCCAGTGCGCCTTCTGGCACGCGGCGTCGCAGTAGACGACGGCCTTGCAGCGGGAGCAGGTTTTGAACTTGGGGTCGCCGGGCAGGCGCATGCGCCCGCAAAACGCGCAGCAGCGGCGGCGGCGGCGGGACCGGGGCGGCGCCGTGGCCGCGGCGCCGCCGAAGAGCGACTTGATGAAGCGCGCGGCGTTGGCGTCGAGGACCGCGGCCGGGTCGGGACGGGCGGCGCCCGGCGCCGCGGCCGCGTCCGGGAGCGCGGCCGCGCGCCGGAGGAGCGCGCGGACCTTGGCCCGCGCCGGGAGGTCGCCGTCCGCGGTGGGCGCGCCGAACGCGCCGTCCTGGAAGGCGCCCTCGAAGACGCGCGCGGTCTCGGCGATCGCGCGCACGGTGCCGAGGGGCGCGCCGGCGCCGGCCTGGACCTCCGCGAGGAGCCACGCCGCGACGACCTTCTTCAGCTCGTCGAAGGGGAAGTGGATGAGCGCTCCGACGAAGCACCGCGCGGCCTCGCCGCGGTCGCCGTCGCGCCGCGCGCGGAGGCCGAGCACGAAGCACGCGTGCGCGTACGGGAGGACGAAGTGCGTGAAGGTCATGAACGCTTGGGGCAGGGGCGTGTAGACGCGAACGGTGGTGCCGAGCATCGCGACGCCGACCTCGGCGCCGTAGAAGCCGATGTAGCCGGTGTCCGGCAGCGAGGAGATCTCGCACGACGCGACGACGTCCCGCGCGAGCGCCGCCGCGCGGTCGAGGAGCGCGGCGCGGCGCGGCGCGGCGACGTCCCGGCCGCGGCGCTCGAGGGCCTCGATGGCCCGCAGGCGCAGCGACCGGACGAAGGTCATGCGGACGACGGCGGGCTGGTGCTCCGCGAATCCGGGCAGGGGCTCGAGCGCGGCGCGCATCGACGCGGCGGCGCGCGCGGCCGTCTCCCAGGCGCGCACGCGGTCGTCGCCGTCGGTCTGGACGGCGCCCGAGACCATGAGCGTGCGCACGAGCATCGTGGCCCAGCGCTTCGCGAAATCGACGGACGTGCGCCAGACGGCGACGACGTAGGCGACGACCGCGTCCACGCCGATCTCCTCCCATTTCGCGAGGAACGTGACGCTGAGACCGTCGCGGACGATCACGTCCATCGTCCCGGCCGGGAGCGCCGGGAGCTGGACGCCCCGGCTCAGGAGCTCGTCCGCGTAGCCGATGGCCTCGCTCATCGCGTCCCCCGTGGCTTTCACGACCTGGTAGAGCTCTTCGTCCGACGCGTCGGCGACGACTTCCGACGCGTCGAGGATCGCGTTGAGGAAGAACTGGACCGGATTCCCAATCTGGGGCATGCGGAGCTCGAAGTAGGGGTTGTCGGTGGCCGACAAGTTCGCGCGCACGCGCTCCAGGCCCCGAGCCACGATGGGCCAGGCCTCGGCAACCGACGCCCCGGGCCCGAGACACGCCGCGAGGCGGCCGTCGGCGGCGGCGGCGTCGAAGTCGGCCCTGTTCCGAATGAAGAGCCTCCGCGCCGGCGACTCGTCGAGGGCCACGGCGGCGAGGCCGCAGCGCCACTGGTGGAGCGCGATCCAGAGCGTCCGCGCGCTCGTCCCCGGGAGCGGCGCGAGGCCCTCGGGCGCGTCCTCCACGATCAGGAGGTCCTCGTTCGGCTCCGACGCGAACCGCGAGAGCCGCGCGTCGCGCCAGGCGAGCATCGCCGGGCTCGCGCGGCGGACGTGGCGCGAGAGGAGGCGGAGGCGCTGCGCGTCCGGGTCCCAGGGGAGCCAGTTCTCCTTGGCGACGGCGGCGTCGCAGGCCCGGTCGATGAGCGCGGCCGCCTCGGCCGGCGATCCCGCGGCGTCGCCGAGCGCCGCGAGATCGACGGCCGCGGCGCCGCGGTCGACCGCCGCGCGGATCGCGTGGCCCTCGCCGAAGTGGATGGCGACGAACTCGCGGATCGTCAGGACCTTTCGCGCCTCGGGCTTGACCTCGAACTCGGAGCGCTCGCCGCTCACGAGGACGCGGCAGGTCTCGAGGTTGAGCACGGCGTCCGCGTCCGCGCCCGCGTCGACGAGCATCGCCGCCGCGCGATCGTCGCCGAAGACGATGGCCGTGAGCAGCGGCGGCACGGGCGCGAGGAGCCGCGGGTCCGCGCCGTGGTCGAGGAGCAGCGCGAACGCGGGGTTATCCGCCGCGGACGCGCCGGCGGCGCCCGCGACGCGCAGGATCCTCGAGAGCGGCGTGCGGTGGGGGATCGAGCGCTCGGCCTGATCCGCGGGCGCCGCGGCCTCGAGCGCGTCGCGGCAGCGGCGCCGAAGGTCCGCCTTTTCGACGCAGTCGGCGTGCGACAGCCCCGCGGCCGCGATGGCCGCGCGGAGCTTCTTGACGGACCAGCCGTCGAAGTCCGGCGGCACCGCGGCCGCACGCTCCCCGTCGCCGACGACCCAGCTCATGGCCCGGACGCGGTCGCGGACGGGGTGGTCGAGGCCCGAGCGCCCGTCGAGCTCCGGACCCATGACCGCGGCGTTCGGGTTCGCGCCCGCGCGGAGGAGCGCCGCCGTCGCCGCGACGGAGTAGGGCGCGACGTCGAGGAGCGGCGCAAGGACCGGGTCGTCGCGCTCGAGCTCGCAGGCCGCGCCGCACAGCGCCTCGATCGCGGCCTCGAACGGCGCGACGGCCGCCGCCGCTGCGCCGCCCTCGCGCAGGCGCGCGATTTCGGCCGCGAGATTGGCGAGGGGCGGTTCCGCGCCCGGCACGTTCGGGTCCGCGCCGCGCTGCAGCAGGAGGCGCAGGCATGCGACCCGCGGCCCCGCGCCGCCGCCCTCGGCCGCGCCGCAGAGCGCCGTGCGGCCGGCGGCGGCGGCCGCGGCAAAAAAATGGCCGACGCGCGGGCAGGCGGGCGACCCGCGCGCCCCCTCGTCCACGGACGCGCCGCGGTCCAGCAGCAGGCGGACCGCGTCGGCGCGGCCGCGCGCCGCCGCCCGCGCGAGCGGAGTCGCGCCCCAGCCGTCGCGGCCGTCGACGGCCGCGCCGTCGTCGAGGAGTCGCGCGAGGGCGCCGACGTCGCCCGTGTGCGCGGCGCGGCAGAGGTCGTCCCCGGGACCCACGGGCGAGATCTTCGCGCGGGCCTTGACGGACCCTTTCCCCGAAATCATCACCGCCGCGTAGCCGACGGCGACGACGCGGCCGCCCTTGCGGTACTCGCGTCGGCACTGGACGCTCGCGGTGCGCTTGGAATTCCACTCGGAGCAGACGGCCGCGTGCTCGGCAGCGTCCGCGGCCTGGCACCCCTCGGAGCACCACACCGCCACGCCGCAGCGCTCGCAGCATTCGAAGACGGGCGGAAACAATTCTTTGCCGCACTTCTCGCAGTCGCCGTGCGCGTAGAATCGCCCCGGCCAATTATTCTCGTCCGTCGAGCGCCCAGGCGGGAGCTGCGCGAGCGGGAGGCTTTCGGGGGCGGTCAGGAGCCGCTTGAGGTCTCGGCTCGACGCCTCTACGCTCTTTGGCGCTCGCACTCCCAAAGCGCGCGAAAAGTCCTTCAGCTGCGAGAGGCCGGCCAAAGCAACAAAACACTCCATTGACCATGGCTTGAAGGCGGCGCTTTCTTCCGCACTAATTATGTTTTTCAAATTTCCTCCCCTGGGCCGCATATCCATGCTGCTGCGGCGAGATGGATTCCACCGGCTGAAAGGTGTAGCGCACCGCGGCGACCTGGCGCTCAAGCGCTACGCGCGGCCCCTAAGATACGTACAAGGCGGTCGCAAGTTACGCCCAGCGCACCGGGCGTTCTCGCGCGACGAGGCTCCAGGCCGGAGAGCCGACTCGGTCCGGCTTCGCGAGGTCAAATTTGCCTGTAATGTGACCTTCAACATACCTAGGTACATGGAAATCACTCGTCCTTACCCCTCGCCCCCGCACGTCTGGGGCTCGAGCATGGTCGCTTTCGGCGCGAGGAGCTTGGCGTGGTCGAGGGGCATGCGGGTCGACAGGTCGTCGGTGAGCTCGGCGAAGCGGTCGAACTGGTGGACGATGGCGTAGGCGTCGCCGGCGTCGTTCGCGACCTCGCGGTACGTGTCGTAGGCGACGTCGAGCGAGTTGCAGATCATGCCGATGGCCCCCGTCTCCGTCGTGCTCAGGGCCACGGGCGTGCCCGGCAGCCGGCCGAGGTAGACGAGCTCCGTGAAGGTGCCCTGGTCGTAGCCCGCGCCGCAGCGGTCCACGACGGCCGCCGACGCGTTCACGATCCGCAGCATCGCGGCGACGTCGGCGATGAAGGCGCCGGAGTTGATGGGCGGCAGGTGCCGGAAGTCCTCCCAGCGCGTGTCGCAGTGCCTCGGGTAGTGGTCCGCGTGGATGGACTTGCGGTCGTCGACGTCGAGCGCCGCGGTCTCCGTCGCGGCCGTGAGGCCGAGGCACGCGGCATAGGCAAAGGGGTCGCGCTGGAAGTAGAGGTCGCGCACGTCCATGAAGGCCGCGCGGCCGTAGAGCTCGCCGAACTCGAGGAGGTAGCAGTACATGAACGTGAACTTGTAGTTCTTGATGAGCGGGCCGGGGAAGTCGACCTTGAGCGCCTGCATGTGCGGCCGCGCCATGATCGCCGCGACGGTCGGGTGGCCCGTCAGGGGCGCGAAGTATTCCAACACTCTGGCGCCGTAGCGGTCGCCGACGGCCCGGAGCGCGCGGTGCGCGCGGTGCGTGAAGACGACCGCGTCCGCGACGCCGCCCGCCTCGCGCAGCGACCGCAGGAAGAGGTACAGCGTCGACGCGTCGGGGTAGTTGTAGACGGAGAAGATGACGTCGCGCTTCCGCGCGTCGCAGGCGCCGGAGGTTCGGTGCCTCTCAAAAAGGTCCGCGCGCGCGGCCTCGGCCGCGGCCGCGCGGTCCGCGCGCGCGCGCCACCGCTCGTCGCCCAGGCCCAGCGCCTGCCACTTCCGTTTCGTCTTCGGGAACGTGTTCGCGGCGCGCCTCGCGTGGCCCCGGAGGGCGTACTGATGCCACACGGTCTTCGCCCAGGCGCAGCCGCCCCGCGCGAGCGCGTCGACGCCGAGGAGCGCGGGCCAGACGTTTCCCAGAGGGTCGACGACGTCGCCGAAGGCGTCCGCGCAATGGCGCTCGCAGGCGTCGGGCGCCTGCCGCACGCGGAGCGCCTCGCCGCGCTCGCCGGCCGGTAGGAAGGCCACGCAGGCGCCCGCGGCGACGCACGCGAAGGCGTCCGCGGCCTCGAGCTCGTGCCGCCCGGCGACGTCCGCGCCGCCGTAGACGACGCCCCGCGGGCCGAGGCCCTCGGTCAGCGCGCCCTGGAAGGTCACGCCGCCGACGGCCGCGGCGACGACGGGGCCCGGCGCGCCGCCGACGGCGCCCGCGACGGCGTCCGCGAGGCTCCGGCCGCCGACGGCCGCGAGCCGGCACCACGCGAACCGCGCCGCGACGCCGCCGAGCGCGCCGAGGGCGCCGTCCTCGACGAAGACGACGCTGCCCGCGAGCGCCGTCCTCCGCGCGACGCCGTCGCCGCCGACGGACACCGCCGCGCGCTCCGCCGACTTCAAGAAGGCGAAGAGGAGCTGCTCCGGCGACGCACCGGGCCGCGGCCGCAGGACGCCGACGATCCGCAGCGCCTCGTGGTAGTCCGCCGCCGTCGCGGCGAGCCAGCACAGCAGGAGGGCGAGTGTGGGTTGCAGCATTGGTGCGTTTGGGAAAATTGATGTGGCTCGACTAAGCTCGCAAACGCATCATCGTTGCTTGGGCCGCATAAATAAAAGTGCAAGTCCTCTGCAACGAAGTAGTTGCACTTTTTTTGCTATGCGATGGGCATTGCGATGGGGTTGCAAAGTGTGCGTCCGCGCCACATGCTCTGCAGCAAAACGAGCGCAGGCCTCGCCTTTTTGATGCGCCACATGCTCTGCAGCAAAGCGAGCACATGCCTCGCCTTCTTGATCGCGACGATCGCCACACCGGCCCAGGCGCTGTCGCCGCAGCAGCTCGTCGCGAAATGCGCGCCCATCGTCGCGGCGCCGGTCGAGTCGTGCCGCCTCGAGCGGCTCTCTGTCGGCAACACCAACGAGCTGTACTCGCTGCGCACCGACGACGCGCGCTACCTCGTCCGCGTCTTCGGCGAAAACGCCGCGCTGGCCTTCGATCGCCACCGCGAGAACGTCGTCTTCGGCGAGCTCGCCGCGCGCGGCCTCGCGCCGCGGCTCCTGGGCACCTTCGACGGCGGCCGCGTGGAAGGCTGGTTGGAGGGCCGGCCGGCGACCGCCGCGGAGTGCGCCGGGGAGTGCGTTGCCGTGGCCCGCGCGCTCGGCAGGCTCCACGCCGAGGGCCCGGCGGACGCGGCGCGGCCGTGGGCCTGGACGACCGCGGAGACGTGGCTGGCGAACGCGCGGCGGCGGCAGGCGGCCTTCGCCGACGACCCGTCGCCCTATGCGGCGCGCGTCCGAGCCATCGACCTCGACGCGGTGGCGTCCGCGCTCGACGAGCTCCGCGTCGCTCTACCCGAGGACCTGCCCGCTTCCTTCTGCCATAACGACCTCTCGAACACGAACGTGCTGCTCGCCGGCGACGGCGCCGTGTCGCTCGTCGACTTCGAATACGGCGGCTCGAACTTCCGGGGTTTCGACCTCGCGACGCACCTGTCGCACTGGGCGGGCGGCGCCGTCGACGGCCTCTACGACGACGCGGCCTACCCCGACGACGCGCGGCCCTTCGTCGAGGCGTACTGCGCCGCGACGGGGGCGGGCGCGGCGGCCGTCGAGGCGGAAATCGCCGCGGCGCTGCCGCTGGCGCACGCGGTCTGGGGGCTGTGGGCCGTCTGCTCGCTGCCGGACGTCGAGGAGGCGCCCTTCTCGCACATCGAGTACGCGGAGCGGCGACTGGCCGCGTGCTCGCGGGCGATGCCGCGGCCCGACGACGGCATGAAACAAGCGGAAACCGCGCGGGCCGACGACGGCATGCAAAGGGCGGAGACCGCGCTCTACGGCGCCCTCGACGGCGCGGTCGCTCTGTTGGGCACCGTCGTCTTCGCGACGACGTGCCTGAACGTCGCCGGCTACGGCGTCGTCGTCGAGGACGGCGGCCTGCTCTTCGGCACGCTCCCCGAAATCCGGATGCGCGCGACGCTCGCCGGGGACTAAAAACCCCACTCACGCGCACGTCGGCGCCGCGGCGTCCTGCCGCGCGGTCTGCATGCCCTTGCCGATCTGCTTGTGGAAGTGGAGGAACGTCTTGTCGAGGCGGCCGAGGAAGTCGTCGAGCTCCTCGGGCGCGACGCCGAGCGCGACGGCCACGGTGAAGTAGGGCACGGGGTAGTCGTCCGCGGACGCGCCGAAGCCGCGGAACGTCTCGGGCCCGATGACCTGGGTCTTGCCCGGCGCGACGACGCGCGTGCCGGAGACGCAGCGCGTGAAGAGCATGGAGCCGAACTTGGTGACCTTGTCGTTGGCGAGCCGGCGCGCCGCGGCCGCGTCGTCCGCGCCCTCGGCGCGCTGGAGCTCCGCGGCCGCGGCCGCGAGGCGCTCGAGCGTGACGCCGAAGGAGATGCGGTTGTGGGGCGTCTCCAGCACGCGCTCGCCGTGCTTCGCCGCGAGCGCGCGGAGCTTGGCCCCGAAAGCGTCCAGCAGCGCCTCGCGGCCGTCGAGCAAATCGCGCCACCCTCGCCGGCCGAGCCCCAGGAGCGTCACGAGCAGGTCCTGGGACGGCGTCGCCGACGCGCGGCCCGGGTAGCCCCGGCCGACCTCCGCGACCAGAGCCGCGTCGGGCGACGCGACGACGGCGCCGCCGACGGGCACGAGGAAGTTCTTGTCCGTCGACTGGACGACGAGGTCCACGCGGCCGACGCGGCACGCGCGGCTCAGCGTCGCGGAGCTCCGCGCGCACTGGACGCCGTAGGCGTTGTTGACGACGTGGGCGACCTCGCGGGCCGCGCAGAGCCGCGCGACGGCCGCGACGTCGTCGGGCGCGCGCCTGGGCAGGAAAAGAGTGCGAAATTTCCAACTTTGGAGGCTCATATCTCGGTCGTTTTCCGCTCGTTTCGGCTAATTCTTGGACGAGCGATCATCTCTCGGAGCGCTCTCGACGCGTGGATGCTTTTTCCGGAACGCGCGCGCGCGGAACACTCATGTTGAAGCGAACTTGAATCACTCGTTTCCTGCCCCGGCGCGCGCGGCGCGAAGCAGCTCGTCGTCGTCACGACCGCGAGCACGTCGTCGCCCAGCGCGTCGAGCCGCGCCTCGAGGGCGGGGAGGTCCGTGAGGAGCTCGTCGCCGAGCCCGCTCGGCGGCGGCGGCGGCGGCGGCGCGTCGGCGCCCTTGGCCTTCTTCTTCTTCAGGAGGCGCGCGTGGTCCGGCGGCGACCCGACGCCGCGGTCGCGCGTCGGGCTCACGACGACGGGCTCGAGGCCCGCGAGCAGGATGCCCTTGAAGCAGCTCTTCTGGTCGATGCGGCACCAGAGCACCTTCTTCTTCGACGCGTTGCCGGGACGGTTCCGCACGGAGAGGAGGCAGAGCGCGAGCGAGAGGCCCGTCGCGCAGGGCAGCACGAGCGCGGCCGTGAACTCCGTGTTGCCCGCCTCCCTGAGCGCGTCGAGCGCGAGGTGGTTGCTGAGCTTCGCGAGCAGGCTCGACCCGGCGGCCTTGGGCTGCACCGCGGCGATGTCGCCGCTCCGGCCGACGCCGTGCGCGAGCCCAAAGTGGCGCCGCCGCACGAGCGGGCTGATCACGCGCGCCTCGCGCTCGCCGACGCCGACGTTGTTCCCAAAATTGTTCGAGTCCATGGCCGCGCAGTTGCGCAGCAGCGCCTCGATGTCCTCCTCGCGCCAGCCGGCCTCGGGGAGCTTCTTGCTCTCCACGAGGCGCCGCGCCGGCGCCGCGTTGCTCGACGCCACCTGCTGCGCCTGCGCGACGATGTGCGCGTCCACGAGCTGCGCCGCCGCGGCGTAGAACTCCTTCTCCATCGCGCCGCTCGAGATGGGTTTGCGCTCGCTACCAGACGCCTCGGAGAGCGCCTCGCAGGGCAACGATGCCGTCAGCTTGCAGTACATCATAGCAGTCGAGCAGGCCTCCGCCCGCCGTTAACGCACAGCTAGCTCACGCGCCGAAGCAGCCGACGTCCGCGCCCGGCGCGAGGAAGCCGCAGCCGTCGATGTCCTCCGTGAGGCCGTACTCGGGCGCGAGCGTCGGCCGCTTCCGACTCCGCTCGATGCCGTCCATGAGCTCGGAGACGCAGTCGATGGTCGAGTCGAGGTCGAGGTTGCCGCGGGCGCGGAGGAAGCAGCCGACGACGGGGATCTCGCTCGCGGCCGTGAAGCGGTCGACGTCCGCTTTGAGGTGGTCCATGACGCCGTCGTACGTCCGGTCGACGCCCGCGGGCAGCGGCACGACGCCGACCTTGTTGATGAGCAGGACGATGGGCATGGACCTACGACGACAAACATGTGCGCGCGTCCGGTTCCGGGACGCGGCGCGCGCGCTTGACGTCCGCGATGCGCTTGCTCCAGGCGACGGCCTTGTCGGCCCAGTTGCCCGTGCCGTCGACGAGCACGACGGCGCCGCTGGACATGGGGATGTAGGCCTCGAAGTCGGAGGAGATGCGCGGCGCGTCGAGGTCCCGCGACGGGACCATGTTGAAGATGACCATCTGCTTCTTGCCCTTGTCGCCGCCCTCGCCGCCGGCGCCCGTCCGCGTCGCGGACCGCGCGCGCGCGCGCGGGTCGCGCGCGAAGCGCGGCGAGTGGAAGTTCTCCACGGCCGTGATCGTCGTCCCCACGGACACGGCGTGCTTCGCGCCCATGCGGCCGTACATGGACCGCATGTCGTCGAGCACCTGCTGCTTCTCGTCGTCGGGCCCGACGATGAGGATGCGCAGCACGCGGCCGTTCGTCGCCGACGCCGTGTCCGACCGCGCCCGCGTCCGCGGCACGGGCTCCTCCTCCTCGCCGGGGAAGCACACGAACATGGGCGGAGCTGCCCGTGGGCCACGGGATTTGTGGTTCAACAAAAGCGAGTGTTGCCCTCCGGCAAAAACACTCGATCTGCGCTGCTCAACGCGATGGCCGCCGACCCGGAGTTCGACGCCGTGAAGCTCGAGACTTATTGGCGGTCCATCCAAAACGAGACGCTGAAAGCGTGCTATGGCGGCGCATCACATCGCGCACGCGCGCGCCGCACTAACGCGCGCCGCATCGCGCCGCGCGCCGCACTAACGCGCGCCGCATCGCGCCGCGCGCCGCACTAACGCGCGCCGCATCGCGCCGCATCGCGACGCGCGCCGTCTCCCCGCGCAGGCTCCTGGTCACGTCGTCGGGCGGCGTGACGCTGCGCACCTACGCGGGCCTCGGCAGCGAGTCGGACGACGGGTCGGACGTCGCGCTGCCGGCGCCGCTCGTCGCCACCGTCGTGTCCCAGGCGAACAAGATGCGCATCGGCAAGCTCGAGACCCTCGTGTCCATGTTCGACAAGTGCTGCCTCGTCATCATCTCCGCGCCGCCCTTCGCCGCGACCATCGTCGCGTCCGAGCAGGCCGACGTCGCCGCGATCCTCGCGCTCAGGCCCCAGCTCGCGAGCGCCCTCGTCGAGGAGCGCCGGTAAGAGCCGGGGGGTTGTTCGCGCGGGGGTGCGTCGCGATACTCGCACGAGTCGGTATAGCGGTCTAGAGGAGCGGCCGGCGGTGCCGCGTTGAGGGGGGTCGGTGGCGCCCTCGGCGCCCTCGGCGCCCTCGGGACGAGGGCGCCGCCCCCTCGTCCGACGCCCTCGGCTGAGGGATTTTCCCCTCGTCCGAGGGAGCCGAGCGTCCGAGGGTCCGAAATGGCCGAGGGCGCCGAGGGCGCCGACGGCCGCTGATTGGCCAGGCACGCCCGGCGCGCTCGAACCGTGACTGCAAATCTCTGGCCATCCGTCGTTGGAAGGTTATGAGGGGGCGCGGCAGCCCAAAGGCGCAGCCCTTGGGCGTCCCTGGGCGCGCCGTGGGTGCCGGCATTGACGCCCACGGTCGCGACGGTCCCCGAGACGGGGCGCAGCCAAGAGCGGCGGCCGTGCGGCGCTTTCCCCTCGCGGCGCCGTGGGCTGCCTACACGTCGGCGCGGGCACGAGGTCCTGTCGGTCCTAGGCCGCGCAGTCGCCCCAGTCGATGATGGAGCGTGGCCCGGGGGCGGCCAGGGACGATCTCTCCCGTGGATCATCACGGAGTCTCCGTCGGACCGCCGCGGCGCCCGAGCCCCGACCGGACGAACTCGACGATTTCGAGTCTCACGACCCAGCCCTTGTACCGAGACGACGCCTGGGTGACGACGAACGATTCCCGATGCTGCAGTGATTCGAAACGAGTCGATGGGTTGGGAGGCGTCGAGCGCGCCCCATTCGAGCCTCTGAGAACCGCCCGCCTGTTCCCCGACGCCATCGCCTGGACGTCCCGTTTTCACCGGCGCGTCGTCCGTCAGGATGCGGCCCATGCAGCCACAGAGATCGTTGCGCATCTCCGCGTATTCGCTGAGCGGCGCGGGTGCAAAGCCTGTCATAAACACATCACGCAGCCCCGGACATCCAGCGCCCCGGGCCGGGGGTCACCAACGGTTCGCCGCCCTCGTCCGATGGACGTGCGCTCGTCCGACGGCCGCGCGCTCGTCCGACGGCCGAGTCCTCGTCCGAGGGCGCCGATCCTCCGTCCGAGGGTCCGAGGGCGTCGGACGAGGGGGCGGCGCCCTCGTCCCGAGGGCGCCGAGGGCGCCGAGGGCGCCACCGACCCCCCTCAAGTGCCGCGGGACTCGGTGCTATGGCGGCTCTTTCGTCGCCGACACGAAACGCCGCACGACGCGTCGATCGCCACCGCGTCGACGACGCGCGCGTCCGCCTTCAACGTTAACTTCAACGGGCCACACGCATGTGCATGTGCCGGACGACCTCGCGAGGGAAACGGAAACATCGCTGCAGTAGCAAATTATATCGTCGCTAATCCTCCACAACCCACAACCGCCCGTGAGCGCAGCGGCTGAGCGACCGACAGCGCCTACTCGACGAAGCGCGGCCCGGCGCCCCGATCGCGCGCGCCGCCCGCGCGGCGAATCGCGCGCGCCGCAGGTACCGGTCCCGAGCGTTGGCGTCGCGCGGTTCGACGCCATGTTCCGCAACACGTTCCAGAGCGGCTTCCTGAGCGTGCTCTACTCCATCGGGTCGAAGCCGCTCCAGATCTGGGACAAGAAGGTGCGCAATGGACACATCAAGAGAATCACGGACCAGGACATCCAGTCGTCGGTGCTCGAGATCATGGGGACGAACGTGAGCACGAACTACATCACGTGCCCCGCCGACGCGAAGCGCACGCTGGGCATCAAGCTGCCCTTCCTCGTCATGATCATCAAGAACCTGAAGAAGTACTTCACGTTCGAGGTGCAGGTCCTCGACGACAAGAACGTGCGCCGCCGCTTCCGCGCGTCCAACTACCAGTCGACGACGCGCGTCAAGCCCTTCATCTGCACCATGCCCATGCGCCTCGACGAGGGCTGGAACCAGATCCAGTTCAACCTGAGCGACTTCACGCGCCGCGCGTACGGCACGAACTACATCGAGACGCTCCGCGTGCAGATCCACGCCAACTGCCGCATCCGCCGCATCTACTTCAGCGACCGCCTCTACTCCGAGGAGGAGCTGCCCCCGGAGTTCAAGCTCTTCCTCCCCATCCAGAAGGAGCAGGCGAACACGGGCGGCGTCGAGCCCAAGCCCCAGGGCTAGGCGGCGCCGCCGCCCCCTTTGCAGCGCGCACGGGGGGGGCGACCCCTCCGCGAAGCCCGACCGGGCGACGGCGTGTATTCGCCGAATGCGCTGCCGCGGCCGCACAAGCGAGCCCACACCTCCACCCCGCGCGGGGGAACCGCGGACCCGGCAACAACGCGCCGGCGAACGCCCCGCGCGCGCGCCGCACGAAGACGCGGCGCGCCCCTCGAAGTTTTACGATGCTCGAGTGTCGGCTTGTCTCTTTTGGGGGGAGCACCGGGAGGGGTGCCGTCTTACCTAGCCGCAGGAGCCGTCGAGGGGCGCGGAGACGACGGGCGCGGCGCGGTCGTCGCCCGCGCGCCGCGCGGTGCCGCGCACGCGGATGGCGCCGTGGACGTCGGTCTCGAGGACGAGGTCCAGCGTCGAGCCCTCGTCCGTGCGGAGCCGGAGCGCGGGCCCCGCGCTCGTCGCCGCGCGCTCGACGGCCGTGACGGCCTCGGACGCGCCGTCGGCCCAGGCGGCCTCGCGGTCCGGGAGCGCGAGGGCGCAGGCGCCGCGGCCGCCGGCGACGGCCCACGTGTAGGCGAGCGCGCGGTCCGGGTCCTCGGCGGGCGCCCAGGCGTCGCCCGACGACAGGACCCAGTCGGCGACGCGCCGCGGCGCCGCGCCGCTCCGCGGCACGCGCTTCTTGAGCTGGGACATGAGCTCGCGCCGCTCCCGGCGCGCCGCCGACGCGGTGGCGGCGGCGTCGTCATCGTCCGCGGCCGCCGCGGCCTCGCCGGCCGGCGGCGGCCGCGTTTGCGTCGCCGGAGCCTCGGCGAAGAAGCGGAGCGTCGCGAGCGGCGCGGCCTCGAGGAACGGGCGGCAGCGCGCGAACTCGAGGTCCGCCGCGGGCGCGGCGGCCGGGGGCGCTGCGGCCTCGGCGGCCTCGGCGCCCGCGGCGGCCTTGTGCGCCTGCACGTTCTCTATCTTCTTGGATTGGCGCACCTTTTTCTCCGCTTTATGGACAAGGAAGCGCTCGCGTTTTTTTCCAGTTGCGGCGCCGCCTTTGGCCATGGTGTGTCGGTGCGTGTGAGCTCGGCTCCCTCGCGCGACGGACGACTACAGCGACACACACAGCCGCCAGCAGAGGACACCCTGAATCGCTCACTTCAGCATCAATGCACCATCAAGTTGCCGCGGCCGAAAGTGTGGTGCAGACACGCTCGGTGGGCAGCCCTAACCAAGAGAAGTGGTTTTACGAGGCGCCCCTCTCTCCGTCGGAAGCGGAGCCGGCTGGGCGAGAGGCCCGCGTGGGCCGCGGACCCGTCCGGCGTCGCCGGCGCGCCGGGAGGCGTGGCTCACCTGGGGGCTGCCGGTGCCCGCCCTTGACGCCGCCCGGCGGGCCCGGACCGCCCCGCCGCGCGGCGCGCCGGCCCGTCCGGCGACGGCGCGCGCGCCATGGCGAACGCCACGGCCTACGACGGCGGCGGCGACGACGACGCCTACGCCATGGGCGACCTCTTCCGCGTCGCCTTCGAGCTGCCGGCGGAGCGCGTCGCGACGGCGTTCATGGCGTTCATCGGGTTCATCATCCTCTTCGACTCGTTCCTCAAGACCGTCGAGGGCGCCCTGTCCGGGTCCATGTACCGCCTGGCCCTCGACAAGGTCTACAAGGAGCTCATGATCGTCGGGGTGATTTCTCTGGGCACCGCGGTGCTCACGTCGGGGACGGGCGCGCGCATCTCCGGCGACACGCGGCGCGTCTTCGAGTACGTGAACCTGGTCATCACGTCGCTGGCGCTGGTCTTCGTTTTGCAGTGCATGGCGTTGATGTATCTGACGTCGTCCACGAAGCGCCGCTACCACGCGGCGTCGACGTTCTCGCCGAACCAGCTCAGCGACCGGCTCCGGCGCGCGACGTTCGGCAAGATCGGCAGTGTGGGCTGGAGGATGAGCCTCTACGTGCCCGTGCTCTTCACGCGGGACTGCGCCCAGTTCAACATCCTGCGCGGCTTCTTCCTCCTGCGCTACGACGTGGGTTTCGCCTTCGACTTCGCGAGCTACCTCAACGAGTGCCTCGACGACCACGTGCTGTCCATGATGGACGTGGGGCCGGGCGCCTGGCTCCAGGTCGGGGCGCTGCTGGGGCTGACCTGGCTCGGGTCCTACGTCTTCGGGCCCCTCTACGGCGCCGTCTTCGGCGACGCGCGGAGCGACGACCCGGAGAAGTTCGCGGCCGCGGGCTTCGTGCTCTTCGGCCTGCTCCTCCTCGCCCTCAACGTCTTCGTCGTGTACTGCACGGGCAAGATGACGGAGCGGCTCCTCGTCGAGGCGGGCATCGTCTCCGACGCGGAGTTCCTCAAGCTCCTGGGCTCCGACGAGCTCGAGACGCAGGACACGCAGCGGCGGACGCGGCTCCTCGCGTCGCAGAAAAAAGTCGTCGACGAGGCGCGGTCCGCGGACCCGGCGTCGCACGCCGTCGACGACGCTCTCGGCGAGATGGCCGCGGCCCGCGGGCCGACGAACGACGAGGTGAGCGCCATCGAGATCGAGGACGGCGAGGTCATCGAGAAGCGGCCCAAGGAGCCGCCGCGGCCCGCGTCCGGCGACACCGTCGCCGTCGCGCCGGCGTCCATGGGCGCGACGCCCAAGGTCGCGGGCCGGAGTCTGGAGGCGACGGCGGAGCGGCCGCCCGCGGCCGCGGCGAGCGACAGCGACAGCGACGACGACGACGACGGCGAGGACGTCTTCGTCGCCAAGCCCGTGGCGAAGCGGCGGCCGTCCCAGCTCGTGCGCATGTCGACGGCCCACCCCAACGAGCTCAAGGCGGCGACGGGCGGCGGCAAGGCCGCGCGCGCGTCCGCGGGCGCGACCGTCGTCGCGCGGGGCTCCGCGCGGACGCTGGGCATGATCGCGTCCGGCGAGACCTACGTCGCGCCCAAGGCGTCCGAGGGCCTGGACCGGTCCCTCGTGACGGCGGAGCTCAACTCGCTCAAGGAGACGTCGGAGGTCGAGCGGCCGTCGCTCGTGCGCACGGCGACGGGCCGGCCCCAGGAGCTCCGGCGGTCGATCGCGAAGACGCCGCGCGCGGCGCCCCTCGGCGGCCTGGCCCTCGCCGAGGAGGGCGACGAGGACGAGGAGTCGCAGCCCGGCACGCTCGCGCGGTCGGGCACGGGCCAGGTCGGCGAGCTCGACGCGGCGCCGCAGAAGTCGTCCGGGTCGCTGTCGCTCGCGGCGTTCGCCGAGGACGACGAGGACGAGGACGACGACGGCGGCGAGTCGCAGCCCGGCACGCTCGCCCGGTCGGGCACGGGCCAGGTCGGCGAGCTCGACGAGGCGCCCAAAAGCGTGTCCGCGGCGCCGTCCCTGGGCACGTTCCAGGAGGAGGACGACTCGAGCACGAGCGAGGCCGACGAGGACGCGCCGCCGGCCGCGCTCGCGGAGATCCAGCCCCTGCGGTCCGCGCGGCCGGACAACGCCTTCGTGCCCGCGCCGTCCAAGGCGCCGCCGCGGCGCCGCGGGAGCCTCGTGCGCATGGGCACCGCGCGGCCGGGCGAGCTCGACGCGTCCGACAAGTCGCGGCCCGCGCAGCAGGGCGCGACGCGCGCGGAGCCGACGCCGTCGATCATGGGCGACGCGCTGGGCGCCTGCGACTTCGCCGAGGGCGACGAGGACGAGGACGAGGACGCGCCGCCCAAGGCCGCGGCGCCCCCGGCCGCGTCGCCGCCGCGGCGCGCGCCGCCGTCCGTCAAGGACGCGGCCGTGAAGCGGCGGCGGTCGAGCCTCGTGCGCATGGGCACGGCGCGGCCCGGCGAGCTCGACTCGTCGAGCGACAAGTCGCGGCCGAGCCTGTTGGGGAGCCTCAAGGCCGGCCTCGCGCCGCCGTCCGAGTCCGCTTTAGGCGAAGCGTTCGCCGAGGGCGAGGAGGACGAGGGCGCGGAGGAGACCAAGGCGCCGGAGCCGGTTGCGAAACCCGTGGCGCCGTCGCCGCCGACGCCGCGGCGGCCCGGCGGCGGCATGGAGCGCCAGAACTCGAACCTATCCGCGACGGCGACGCCGCGCGGGCCCCGCCGGGGTTTAGGCCGCCAGGAGTCGAAGCGCGAGGTCACGCCGTCGTCGTCGCCCGCGCCGCGCCAGCGGCCGGGCATGCGGCGCATGGAGTCGAAGCGGGACGCGGGGCTCGGCGGCGCGCCGCCCGCGGCGGAGCACGGCGACGGCAAGGCGCTCGACGCGGCGCGGTGCGCGAGCCCCGCGGGCTCCGTCGCGACCCCTAGCCGCGTGCACCCCGAGGGCGTCGCGGCCATGCCGCCGCTGCTGCCCCAGATGTCGAGCGTGGGCATGAGCGGCCGCACGCTGCCGCGGCGGCCGACGGACCTCATGAAGCGGACGAACTCCGCGTGGGAGAACTTCACCGTGGAGACGCAGAAGCGGCGCACGTCGGCGCCGGACAAGGAGGAGCTCGACAAGGTGCGCGAGGCGCGCGCGGGCGCCCACGTCGCCACGCGGCGCCGCCTGCCGCCGTCGCCGAAATCCGGCGACGCGGACCTCGACGCGCTGGAGGCGCAGCTCGTCGGCGAGTCGAAGACGGGCGCCGACGCGCCGCCGCCGCCGCGGCGCCCGTCGGGGCGCCAGCGCCGCGGCTCCGCGAGCTCGCGGCGGTCCAGCGAGGGCGGCCGCCGCGCGTCGTTGACGAACAGCGCGTTCGAGTTCGCGTCGATGATGGGCACGCTCGCGGGCGACGTGACGAACAAGCGGCGCCGGTCGTCGACGCTGAACCCCTTCCAGAAGAGCGCCTGGGCCATGATGGCGCGGAAGATGGACCGGCCCGAGCTCGAGTACGTGTATCCTTTCGGTGGTTCGGAGTCGTACATGAACGTGCTCGACGTGCTCCTGCTCTTCTCCTGCCTCTACTGGGCCCTGCTCCTCATGTCCTTCGGGCGCATCGCCGCGCGCCTCGGCGCGGCCTGGGTCGCCCTCGTCTTCGTGCCCCCCGTGCTCTGGACGGGCTGCCTCACGGCCATCGTCAAGTCCGCCGCGCTCGTCCACGCCGTCGTCAACATCGACCTCGACATCATCGGCCACATCCAGGAGTCCACGGACGAGCAGGCCTACGAGGCCATCCGCGACGAGGCCATCAACAGCTTCCGGAGCCGCATGCTCGAGAAGATCGGCTCGTCCAGCGACAAGGAGGGCAAGCTCTTCGTCTGCTTCAACAACTTCGACCTCGACGGCAAGGGCCGCCTCAACTACCACGAGCTCCGCATGCTCACGCGGAACCTCAACATCCACATGACCTACGCGACCTTCGACTTCCTCTTCCGGCGCGGGGCGGCGTCGCCCCGCCCCTCGCGATGCGCGCGCGCGCGCGCGCCCGCGAGACGCGCGCGCCTTTCCGTAGGTCCATCGACACGAAGATGGACAACGTCGTCGACTTCGAGGAGCTCCGCCACGCCGTGCTGCCGGAGCTCACGCCCGAGGCCTACGAGAAGCCCGCGAGCACGCGCAAGGGGTCCATCCTCGACAACATCAAGGCGTCGCTCTTCGGCGCCGCGCGGCCGCGGTCCGCGACGGACCGGGGGTCGCCGACGGCGCCGCTCGCCGCCGCGGGCGACCGGCCGCGGTCCGCGAGCGACCGCAGCAAGGGCGGCCACATCGAGGTCGTCCCGGGGACGAAGGCGCGGCAGACGCACATGCTGCCCGTGAAGCTGCCGGACCGGCCGCGGTCCGCGAGCAAGTCGAAGAAGGTCCTCGACGTCGTCCCGGGGGTCCCCGGGCGGTCGACGCATCTCATCCGCAAGACGCACTAACATCATGTTCGGTGGTGGCGCCGGGGCGGCCCGCGCGGCCGGAGCATCTTCGGCGGCGGGCCGCGCGCGAACTGGGGGACGCCCCTGTCCCCCGTCCAGGGCAGCGCCTCCTGGTAGAGCCGGTCGCCGCAGTGCGCGAGGAGGCCGCCGAGCTCCGGGCAGACGGTCCCGTAGGGCACGCCGCGGTGGAACGGGTCCCGCGACCGCCGCTTCGCGTGGAGCTCGCCGTCGCAGCCGTAGGGGTCCTCCTCGAAGGCCGCGGCCGCGGCGGCCTCGCCCTCGGCGGCGGCGGCGCCGTCGAAGCGCGACCCGCCGTCGACGGGCACGGCCTCGAAGTGGAACGCGTCCTTGGGGAACCGGATCGCGGGCGCGTGGAGGTCGACGAAGCGCCGCTCCTTGAAGTCGAAGGAGACGACGTCGACGGCCTCCGGGTAGTCGCCCGCGACCTCGCGGAAGCGGCAGATGGAGAAGAGCAGGTTCTCGTAACTGTCGCGCGCGTACTCCTCCGTCGTCGCGCGCGCCGCGACGCCCGGTAGGCCCCACCACCCGAAGTGCTCGGCGAGGAGCCAGTAGGACTGGGCCTCGGACCGCGGGCCGGCGTCGCGCCGCGTCTGGCCGCCGGAGAACACCAGCAGCGCGTCGTCGCGGCCCGCGGCGAGCTCCGCGCCGCGCCTCGCGTGCTTGACGAACTCGCGCGGCAGGTCCCGGCCCCGCTGGTAGCCCAGCAGGTACCAGGACGCGTCGTTCTCCTCGACGCCCTCGAGGCTCTCGGCCATGGTCACGGCGTGGCCCGCGACGACCACCAACCGCCTCAGGCCGCCCGCGTCGCCGAGCGGCGCGCTCCGGCGCTGGCGCCGCGGCGGCCGGAGCCGCGGCGCGGGCCCGCCGCCGCGGAGCTGCGGGCCCGCGTCGGCGTCGGGCCGCTCCGAGGCGAACAAGTCGGCGGCGCCGCGCGCCGCGAGGCAGGCGACGACGGCGTAGGCGCTCCAGCGCAGGACCCGGCGCAGCGCCTGCGGCCGCCGCCGCCGCCGCCGCGGGTCCGCCGACGGCAGCGCGGCGCCGTCCGCCGGCGCCGACGATTTGCGCTGCATCGCTGGCCTGCCTGGCTCTCACAAAGCTGCGTCCATTCGTGCCCTCTCACGATGAGAGGACCATTGCATGGCCGCCCTCGACCATGCATGGCCACAAAAATCACAAATGTTGACCTTGCACTGCAAGTCGAACACGCCGATCGAACCCGAGTTTTAAGAGCGGAGCGTGTCGCCCCAGGGCCCCGGGAGGGGCGCGGCGCGGCCGCCGATTTTGACGAGGAGCGAGCCGCCGTCGCCGGCGAGGTCCGCGGCGAGCCGCGCGTCGACGCCGCCCGCGAGGTCCGGGAGCGGCGCGCGGCCCGCGAGGTCCGCGACGGGCAGCGGCGCGCCGAGGTCGACGCCCGCGCGCACGAGGCAGGCGGCGTCGCAGGCCACCGTCGCGTTGGCGCCGCCCCAGTTGACGAAGAGCAGCGCGACGCCGAAATCCGCGAGCGGCTTCGCCCAGACCTGCGCGCAGTCCGGCGCGACGGGCCGCGCGCCAGCGATGACGCGCGTGTAGGACGCGGCCCAGAGAGCGAACGCGACGCAGCACGCCGCGGTCTTGCGCCGCCCCGCGAGGCCGAGGAGCGCGGCCGTCGCGGCGGCGACCGCCGCGACCGTGAAGAGGAGCGACGTCCAGACGTCGGCGACGTCGCGGGGCATGGACCAGGGCGAGCACCACCAGTTGTCCTTGGGCGCGTGGGCCGGGCAGTCCGACTGGACCACGGCCCCCTGGACGCCGAGCGGGTCCTGGTCGACGGCGATGACGGCCTCGTTCGAGTAGGTCTCGAAGTCCCAGGCGTTCATGTCGCCCGGCGCCGTGCCCAGGAGCAGGGGCGCGGCCATGACGGCCCAGAGGAGGAACTGGGTCCGGCTCTGGGTCGGCGTCAGGCGCACGGAGCTCGCGCCCGACGTGCCGACGAGCATGTCCGGGTCGTTGTAGCCCCGGCCGGGCCCCGCGTAGTCGCCCAGCCCCTCCATGGTCCGCGACACCTCGTAGATGTTCCCCCACTCGTCGCAGTCCGCGCCGACGCGCCAGCTGTGGACGCCCGGCACGGCGCTCACGGCCGGCGCGTACCAGCCGCTCCAGCCGCAGAGCGAGAACTGGATTTTGGGCGCGTGGGCCCGCAGGGCCCGGTGCATCTTCGCGTAGTCCTCGAGGGCGCCCCTGCGCCGCACGTTCGGCGCCCAGCAGCTGTCGTACTTGAGGTAGTCGACGCCCCAGGCGGCGAACTGCCGCGCGTGCGTCGCCTCCCGGCCCCGGCTCCCGGCGCGGAAGGCGCAGGTGAAGAAGCCCCGGTCCGCGTAGATGCCGAACTTCAGGCCCAGGCCGTGGACGGCGTCGACGACGGGGCCGAGGCCCTCCGGGAACGCGGCCGCCGCGGGCACGAGCTCGCCGCCCGGGCCGTGGAGCTCCTCGTGCCAGCAGTCGTCGATGTTCAGGAACGTGAAGCCCCGCGCCGCGAGGCCGCTGGCCACGAGGCCCTCGGCGAGCGCGACGATGCGCGCCCCGGACACGCCGTCGCAGCGCAGGTCGTTCCAGGTGTTGTAGCCCATGGCCGGCAGCCGCCCGACGTGCGCCGCGGCGTCGGCGACGGGCGTCGCATCGAAGATGGATGATGTGCTGCGGCCTGGCGTCGCGAGGAGTGCGATGGCGAGGAGCACGCTTGCCATTGGGACAAAAGAGGCAGCGCTCGGTCTTGCTGCCATAAGCTGAGGCAGTCTCTTAGCGATCTTTTCATTGAACCCTCGTTGCCCCTGGAGTCTGGGCGGCCATCCAGGAGGCTGCCCCGCTCGGCGGAACCCCCAGCCTGGGCAGGAGCTTCAGTCTGGGCCATTCCTGGAGCGGCGTCGGCTGCCCCTCTCTCGCGGCCGAACCATGCCCGAGCGACCGAGCACGGAGGCGCTCGCGCAGATGGCGGCCCCGGACCGGAAGACGGGCTTCCTCGAGAAGCAGGGCCGCGGGCGCAACTTCTCACCCTACAAGCCCTGGGCCCGGCGCATGTTCGACCTCGACCCGTCGATCAACACCCTCACGTACTCCTGGGAGGGGTCCGTCAAGGGCCGCATCGGCCTCGACAACGACTCGGAGGCGACGCGCGTCGCCGGGGCCAAGCCCATGTTCCTCGTGAACGGCGCGGGCGGCGAGGCCGTGCGCTGCGCCGCGAGGGACGCGGCCGAGGCCGACGCCTGGGTCGCCGCGATCAACCGCGCCGTGCTCGGGCCGGCCATCGTCGAGGCCAAGGCCGTCATGCGCGCGCGCGAGGTCGCGGAGGCCAACGCGGCGCGCCAGCGCGCGAAGGAGGACGCCGCGGCGAAGATGCGGGCGGAGCGCGAGGCGATGGCGAAGACGCGCGCGGCGCCGGCGCCGCGGCCGAAGCAGCGCGCGTCCGTCGTCCGCGCCCAGATGGACGCGGCGAACGCGATCCTGCTCGGCGCGCTCGACGCCTACGCGGTCGACAAGTGCGCGCGCGACCCGACCGCCGCGGAGCTCGTGCAGTCGAGGCTCGTCGACGCGGGCGGCGACGGCGCGGCGTCGCCGGGCGGCCGCGTCGTGAGCCGCGAGGTCTCGGTCCACGCGGAGATCGACCCGAGCCTCGACGCGGGCGTGCGCGCCGCGCGCGCGGGCGCCGCGGAGAAGGCGGAGCGCGACGCCGCGGCGGCGCTCGCGGAGCGGACGACGGCGGAGCGCGAGGCCGCCGCGGCCCAGGCGACGCTCGCGCGCAAGTTCGCCGACGCCGAGCGGCGCGAGGCCGAGGACCGGGCCAAGGCCGCGGCCGTCGTCGAGAAGCTCCGGGGCAACCTCGCCAAGTCCAAGGTCACGACGCACGAGGAGCGCGTCCACGGCCTCGCCGAGGCGGGCGAGGAGAACGCCGTCGCCCAGCGCATCGCCGCGAAGATGCTCGCCATCAAGCGCGCCAAGGGCAAGGACCGCGCGCGCGCCGCGCCCGCCGCGCCCGCGGCGCTGCCGGACCCGTTCCCCGAGTCCGAGGGGTGGCTGTAGCGCGGCATTGCGCGTATTATCGGTGCGCGTCGCTTACGCGCTAAGCGGCGAAGTTGGCATCGATGATGTGACGTGGGTAATTCAGAATTGGAATTTAGTTCATTACCGAGTAAGTGTCTGCGCGTCGATCATCCTTTTGCGCATCGATTGATCGATGCGATTACCGTTGTCATCCAGCCCGCCGGGGTCCGAGAGGTTGAAGCGGAGCTCGTAGGGGACGCAGATGGTTGCGTCCGCGTAGGGCCTGTAGGTCGGATCCAGGAAGCCACAAATGAAGTGATGCGTAGGGTCGAAACCGGGGTGGCGGAACGCCTTCTCGATGACAGCCAGGCCCGGCCGGACATCCTTGAAGTGGCGGATGTCGCTCGCGTCGAAGAACTCCATGGCCAGCCCGGACGCGCTCTTGCCGACGCGTTCGACGCTCTCGTTGGTCCGGGCGCACCAGTCCTCGAAGTCGCCATTCTTGATCATGCACCCAATCTGCCGGGTCCCGGCGAGGCCCGCGCGCCGGACGGCGTCGACGGAATCTCCGCCGATCTCCCACCACTTGTCGCCCCGCGCCTCCCAGACGAGCCTCGACAGGTAGCCCGACTGCACGAGGACCTTCTCGAACCGCTTCACCTTGACCTGGAAGGCGACCATCTCCTCGGCGGACGGCATCGCGTCGAGCCCGCAGCCGGAGAGGCCCTTGGCCACGTCCTTCCCTTTTTTTTGGCACCAAACGCTCCCCGATTCCTCCATCAGACGGCGCGTCGCGTCGACGTCCGCGGCAACCTTCTGGTATTTCTTGCAGTCCAGCTTGTGCGCCTTCCACGCCTGTTTCTGACACGCGGGCGAGCAGTAGCGCACCTGCCTGCAGCCCGCGCAGGACATCATCTTCTCTTCGACCTTCCCGCAGGCGCCGCACGCGTGGCGGTCGCCGCGCGTCCGCGCCCGCGCGGCGATCTGCTCCGGGGTGTCCAGCTCGCCCTTCGACATCATCTTCTCTTCGAGCCGGGCCGCCGCGCGATCGCGGATGCCCTGGAGCTTGTCGAAGCACGTGCTGAAGAAGGTGTGGTTAAAATTCGGTGGCGGCCGCCCGCCCCGGGGCGGGACCTTGTCGCCCACGCAGCAGATGACCGTCGTGTCCTCCTCGCGAAAGCTGCATTTCGACAGGATGATCGCGACCTGCGGCCGCGCGAACGACTTCGGAAAGCCGAGGCTGTCCATGTGCGAGACGATGCTTTTCGGCCGGGCGCGCGAGAACATGTGCGCGTCCGCGAGAATCCGGTCGTCCGGCGTCGGATCTGCGCCGCGCCGCACGCGCAGGTCGAGGACCATCACGTCCAGCTTGCCGCGATTGCCGCCCCGCAGCTCGCGGGCGCGGCCCTCGAGCGGGCCGAGGAGCTCCACCAGCCAGGCGAAGGCGTCCTGCTGGGCCGTACCGCCCAACGTCGACGGGGTGTCGCAACTGCCCAACGGCGACGGGCCGGAGGGCGCGGCAGGCGCGGCGGCGCCCGGCGGCGACGTGCTCCCCCCCCCCCGCGGCGAGGCGCGCCTGTGCTGCGCGGCGCCGCAGGTCCGCCTTCTCGACGCAGTCTTTCGTCGACAAGCCCGCGGACGTGATCAGGGCTTTTAGTTCTTTTATGGACATGGCCTCGACGTCCTTCGCGTCCGCCGACATGCTCGCGACCGTGACGCCGTCGAAGCTGCCCCAGAGAACCAACGAGAACAGCTGAAATGACGTGCAAGCGCACTTCAAGGTCCGCCGTGCACTTTCGAGCCGCTACCTAATGCTCCAGCAGGTGTTACGACTGCGACGCGTCGGACTCCCCCAGCTTGGCCTTCTTCGCCGCGCCGTTGGGCTCGTCGGCCGGCGGCTCGTCGTCGTTGCCGGCCCTGGCGAAGCCGTCGAGGTCCGCGGCTTTCTCCGCGCTCCACTCGATCTTCTTCACGACGAGCGCCGTCGGCGCGCGGCGCGCGAAGGGCCGCTTCGGCGCGTCGAAGGCGCCGCCGGAGAAGGCGGACGCCGGCGGCGAGGACGACGCGGGCGGCGCCCGCACGGGGGGCTTGAAGTCGTCGTCGTCGCTCGACTCGCTCTCCGTGCGCGGCCGCTTCGACGACGCCGTCGACTCGTCGTCGCCGTCCGTGGCCGCCGACGACGGCGACCGGGGCTGCGCGCGCCGCGCGCCGTCCAAGCCGCGCTTCGCGCGGTGCCGCGAGGACGCGGAGTCGCCCGACGCGTCGCTGTCCGACGAGTCGTCCTCCGTCGGCGGCGTCGGCGACCGGCCCGGCGGCCGGCGCCGCGCCGCCTCGCGCGGCGCGAAGCCCGGCGGCGGGCCCGGCGGCGCGCCCGGCGCCTCGTCGTCGTCGGACGCGTCGTCCATGTCGTCGTCGAAGTCGTCGTCGTCGTCGAAGTAGGCCTCGTCCGCGTCCTCCGTCGCGATGCGCGCGCGCCGCTCGAGCTGCGCGGCCGTGAGCGGCGCGTCGTCCTTGGCGCCGCCGAAGCCCCGCGCCGCCCGCTCCAGCAGGTCCTTGTTCTGCGCGTGGCGCGTCTCCAGGCCCTCGAGCAGGCTCCGGTGGAGCACGGACTTTTTGAGCGTCGCGCCGTGGACCTCGACGATGTGGGCCACGAGCCCTTTCACGTTCTCGACGCGGACGAACTCCGCGAGCTCCGCGACGGCGGACGTCACGAGCGAGTCGCCGGGCACGACGCGCGGCGGCCGATTCCGCGGCCGCGGCTCGACGGTGTCGTTCGTCGCGTCGCCGTCGTCCTCCGGCGGCGGCGGCGCCGGCGACGCCGCCGCCGCGTTGCCCAGCAGCCGGAAGACGGGCCCCAGCGACCCGTTCTTCACGAGGTAGCGCGTGTAGAAGTCGTCCTTGGCGCCGACGCACGCGCGGACGAACCGGAGCGCCGCGAGCACCAAGGGCTTGTCGCCGTACGCGCCGCCGCACTCCACGAGCGCGACGACGCGCGCGGCGACGTGGTTCCGCAGCACGAAGTACTTCATGCGGTAGGCGTGGGCGCGCACGCAGTAGGCCAGCAGCTCGCAGACGTGCGCGCACGCGGCCCCGTTCGCGACGCGGAGCCCCGGCCCCGGCGCCGCGTCCTCCAGCGGCACCTCGACGCCGTCGCCGCCGACGACGCGGACGTCGTAGAGGGGCTCCACGAGCCAGGGCAGGTACTTGTCGTAGAAGAGGGCGAGGAACGCGTCGCGCTCCGGCTCGTCCATCGTCTCGCTGTCGAGGACCAAACGCGCGGCGTCGCTCGCGTGCATGAGCGTCGCGAGGTCGCCGTCGCAGGCCAGCAGCCGCAGGACCCAGAAGAGCGCGGGCCCCCGCCGCGCCGCGCCGCCGGCGCCGGCCGCGGGGGCCGCGGCGCCCCGCGGCAGCAGGCCGAGCGGCGCGGCGCCCGGCCGCCGCGGCGCGGGGCCCTTCCGCGCCTTCTTGTTCGCGTCGTCGTTTCCGCCGTTCTGCGCCGCGTGCCACGGCGGCGGCTCCGGGTGGTCCTCGCGCCGCAGCGCGTCGTGGCGCAGCGACGACGCGTTGACGCGCACGGCCGTCGCGACGATTTCCGCGCAGCACGCGCGCTCGACGGCCGCGGCGGCCGTGTGCGCGTAGCCGTCCCCGCCGGCGCCGCTGGGCCGGCTCCGGTGGCCGCAGTCCGCCAACGCCGTCGCCAGCGCGCCGTAGAGCTCCGTCTCGAAGAAGAGGTGGCGGTACAGCGCGTCGCGCGACTGCGGCTGCGCGTTCCGGCTCAGGCCCACCATCTCCCGGAGGAACCGGAGCGCGAGGCCCCGGTCGCGGCGGTGCGCGGCCTCGGCGCCGCCGTCGCCGTCCTCCAGCAAATCCGCCTCGAGCGACTCCGCGGCGGCCTCGGGCGCGCCGGAGCCGACGAGCGCGACGACGCGCTTGAGGTAGTCCGTGTGGTCGTACAGGCGCCTCAGGATCTCGTTGTTGTTGCTGAAGACTAACCCGTGGATCGACGAGAGCTGGGCGTCGTCCATGCCCGGCCGCAACGCCGCCTCCTTGAGCACGGCCGCGCGGAAGTTCTGGACGACGCGCATCCGCAGCGTCGCGTCCTCCATGGGCACGACCTCGCGCATCTGCGACGCGCGCAGCGCCAGGCGCCGCAGGGGCACGCGCCGCGCCTCCGCCGCCGTCCGCGGCCGCTCGTCGCCGAGCAGCGCGCCGGGCAGCGGGCTCCCGACGCGGAACCGCGCGTCCTCGTCGCTCACGGCGCCCTCCGTCGTCGCCGCGGAATTGCCGGACTCGACGCTCGCGCGGCGGTTCGCGGCCTCGTCGTCGTCGTCCGGCGCCGCCGCCGTCGCCGCGGCGACCTCGGCGTCGGCGTCCGCGGCGCCTGCCGGCGGCGCGGCCGCGGCCGCGGGGGCCGGGGCCGCGGGCGCGCGCGCGGCCGCCGCGCGCGCGGCCTCGTCGGGCTCGACCCAGGACCGCCGCTCGCGCGGCGCCGCGCCGTCGTCGACGGCGAGCGCCGCGTGCTGCTTCTTCAGGTCCGCCGCGTACTCGAGCGCGCCGAGCACCGGCTCGAAGAGCGGGTCGTCGAGCAACGCTTCGACGAGCGGCGGCTCGTTGAGCAGCACGACCAACTTCACGACGTCCGCGAGCTTCACGAGGACCTCGACGTCGTCGCCGTCCTCGGCGTCGTCGAAGGACGCCGCGAGCTGGCGCAGGAGCAGGCAGTCCTCGGCCAGGAGCGTCGCCGCGTAGCGCTCCTTCGCCGCGGGGCTCGCGGCGGCGCGCGCGAGCGTGCACGCCCACTCGTCGAGCGCGGCGGCGGACGACGGCGCCGGCAGGGCGTGCCAGGCCTGGGGCGCCGGGTCCGCGGCGAGGAGCTTGCCCAGCGCGCCGCCGCGCGCGCCGAGCACGTGCGCGAGGAACGCGCGCGCGTGGTTCGCGGCCGCGCCGTCGTCGCCGTCGCCGCCGCCGAACTGGCCCGCCTCGGCCTCGGCCTGGCGCCGCAACAGCACGGCGACGGCGCGCGCCGCGTCGCCGTCGTCGTCGACGCCCGGCGGGCCCGGCTCGTCGTCGCGGAGCGCCGCGAGCGCGCCGCGGTCGCCCGGCGGCGGGCTCAGGCTCCGGCTCCGGCTCAGCGCGGCGATGAGCCGCGCGGCGGCGGCCTGGAGCCGCGCGTAGAGGTCGTCGCAGCCGTGCTTCTCCTGGAAGCTCAGGGCGACGCACGCCGTCTCGTTCGCGGCCTTGTCCGCGATCGCCTAAACGTGGGGCGGTTCGCGGAATTTCGCGCGCGGGCGGCCGCGGCGCGCGGCGCGCGCGGGCGCGGCGGCGCGTCGGACGCGGTCTATCGACGGAGCCGCCGTCGCCGCGGCGCGTGTCCCAGGTGATGATGTTCTCGCCCTGCTTGGTGTACGCGTCCTGGCTCGGGATGAGCCGGCTCGCGAGCAGCGCGCCGCGCGCGCCGCGGTCGTTGTTCTCGCTGAGCACGAGGATCGTCGGCGCCGAGCCCTTGGCCAGGGTCACGGAGCCCGTGCCGCAGTCGTCCCACTGGCCGTCCTCGTTGAGCCGGTAGACCTTGACGCGGTACGCAGGAGCGCTCTGCTCGTCCTCCGGCGGCGCTGGCGGCGCCGGCGCCGGCGCCGGCGCCGGCGCGTCGTCGGGTGGCGCACCACCCGTGTCGTCGCTCATCCCCGCAGTTCTTGCGCCAGCGTGGCCGCCAGGTGCACCTCTGCGCGGCGCCACCAGGTCGTAAACTAGCAGCTCGCCCGCCCGCCAAGAGAGCGCGAGAGCGCCTCTGGAGGCCGGGCCGGGGCGAAAGTGAAAGTTGCTCGCCGCGCTCACCCTCCGTCCAGCCAGCCAGCGAGCTGCTGGCTTCTCTCCATCTTACCATACATCTATACCTCCTGTTCGCCGGGTCGCCGCGCCGCGCGAGCGCCGCGGTAGCGCGGGCGCTCCTGCGCGCGGCTCGCGGTCCCGCGCTTGCTCGGCCCTATGCGGTGCCAGGTTGCTAGTGCACCACTCTCTAACGGCGACGGCCGAGACGACGTCGTGCCTTTGGCTAGGCGCGCTCCGGGCGGCGATTGCGACTCCCGCTCGAGGCCGGCTCAAACACCCGGCGCCGGCGCGAAGCGGCTCGAAGCCGGCTCGAAGGGCTCGCTTATGGCCTGTAGCCTCCTCGAGTAGACCCGACACTCGACACGGGCGCCCGCGCTCGACACCGCGCCCTCACGACTTCATCCGCAGCAACGATGGTCTACATCTCCGGCGTCAAGGACGCCTTCGGCTGCGACCCGTTCCCCCAGATGCTGCAGAACGCCCACTACGCCAACACGCCGCCGCCGCCGCCGTCCGCGGGGCGGCGCATGGCCGGCGAGCTCGCGTCGCTCGACGTGCCGCCGGCGGTCTTCGCGGCGCTCGAGGCGCAGAACATCACGAGCGTCGCGCTCGTCGCGCGGCTCGCGGCCGCGGACTACGAGCGCATGGGCGTGCCGCCCCGCCACCGCGACGCGCTGAGCGAGGCGTCGAAGCGGCTCCAGGGCGCCAACGGCGCCAGCGGCGCCGAAAGCTGGGAGGCGGCGCCGGCGCGGCGCGCGGCGCCCAAGCCCCGGCCCGCGCCCGCGCCCGCGCCCCCCTCCGGCGGCGCGGCCGCGGGCTTCATCTTCCTCTGCGACCACAAGACGCGCGGCGAGGTCTTCCAGCGGCGCCTCTTCGGCCTGCCGCCGAACAACCTCAAGGACATGCACAAGATCGGCCCGTCCACGGCGCTCTTCCTCTACGACTTCCGCCAGCGCGAGCTCATGGGGCCCATGAAGGCCGTCGGGGCGCCCGCGCTCGACATCGAGCCGGACGCGTGGAACGGCCGCTTCCGCGCCCAGCTCCGCTTCCTGCCCCTCGACAGCGGCGCGACGAACCTCCGCAACGGCGTCGCCACGCTCGCCATCGACAAGCCCAAGCACGGGCCCGTGGGCGCCGGCGACCTGTCGCCCGCGCGCACGAAGCAGCTCCTCGACTTCCTCCTCGGCTGACCGTGCTTTCGCGCGGTAAGCTCCTCGCGGCTTCAAGTGCGTGGGTTCGCCGTCTCTTCCAAGTCGCGCGGCGGCTTGAAAAAGGGAAAGTTGAACGGCACCTTGAAGTTCGGAAAGTCGACGTCGAGGCTCTCCCGACTTGAGGGCCTGTCGGGGGGCGTGGCGTCCGACGCGCCGTGGCGACGCGTCGGCGAGCACCATGAAGCCCACGAAATCGAGCGAGGCCATCGACTACTACGAGTCCGCCGGCCACCTCGACGCGTCGGGCCTCGAGGAGGTCGCGGCGCTGACGCAGCGGCGGCGCCTGACGCACCACAGCGACTACCTCCTTTTGGTGCTCGTGGGCATGCCCGCGCGCGGCAAGTCGTTCATCAGCGCGAAGCTCAGGGGCTTCCTCACGTGGAGCGGCCTGCGCGTGGGCACGTTCAACGCGGGCAAGCACCGCCGCGAGACGGGCGCGCCGCCGCCGGCGGCGCCGGACGCGGCCGAGTCGCCGCGGCCGAGCTCGGGCGCGGCGTCCTTCTTCGACTCCAAGGACGACGCCGCGCTCGCGAAGCGCGAGGCCATCGCCATGGAGACGCTCGACGCGCTCTACGACTTCCTCCAGTCCGACGGCGGCGACATCGGCCTCTTCGACGCGACGAACAGCACGCGCGCGCGGCGCCGGGCCATCGTCGAGCGCACGGTCGCGCGCTTCGCGGGCACGGGCCGGCGCTGCGGCATCATCTTCCTCGAGACGATCTGCGACGACGCGCGCGTGCTCGAGATGAACATGCGCACCAAGGTCCGGAGCTCGCCGGACTTTGCCGGATTATCGGAGGACGAGGCGCTCGAGGACCTGCGCGCGCGCGTGCGCAACTACGAGGCCGTCTACGAAACTGTAAAAGAGGACGAGGGCGCGTTCATCAAGCTCTACAACTTCAGCAGCAAGGTCGAGTGCGCGTCCATCTACGGCCGCATGTCCAAGACCGTGCTCCCCTTCCTCCTCGCCATCCACGTCGACGACCGGCCCATTTATCTGGTGGCGCTCGCGCCGCGCAAGGGCGAGCCCGAGTACGGCGGCGAGGACGTGCGCGTGACGCACGACGACGAGCTCCGCGACCGCCTCGCCGCGTGGTGCGAGGCCACGGCCGCGCCGCCGACGGCCGTCTTCGCGTCGACGGTGCGCGGCGCCGTCATCGCGGCGAACAAGCTGAAGCGGCCCGGCCGCTCCGTGCGGTTCACGTCGGCGCTGGCGCCGCTGCTCGTGCCCTACGCGTCCGCGGCGGGCGACGCGCACGCGGCGCGCGCCTTCGACGAGCGGCGGGGCGGCGGCGAGTCGTACCGCGACCTCTGCCAGCGCCTCGAGGGCTGCCTCCTCGACGTCGAGGCGTCCGTCGAGCCGACGCTCGTGCTCACGCACGCGACGCCCGCGCGGGCGCTCCGGGCCTACTTCTGCGACATCAACGTCGTCCAGTGCATGGGGCCGGGCACGTCCGACGGCGCGCTCGCGCTCAAGGGCAGCGACCACTGCGTCGTCGAGCTCCGCGCGCTCGTCGGCGGCGGCTACTCGGAGACCATCCACCGCCTCCCGCCCGCGCCGCCGTCGCCGACGCCGCCCAAGGTCGGCGAATGCCGCCAGCCCCGCGCGAAGTCGAACACGGAGCGGCCGCCGTCGCCGCTCACGCCGCAGACGGCCTGGAACTCGCCGCCGTCCGCGTCGCGCCGCCGCAACACGTCCTACTGAGAGACCCTGACCATAGTTCCCCCTGTGAATCGACCGCTGGAAGCAGCGAAGCTCGGAGGTCGGGAGGCGGCCCCGGCGCCCTAGCCCGTCGCCATGTCGGCGTCGCGCGCCGTGACGACGGTGACGATGCTCGTGTTCGTCGGCTTGTCCTCGAGCGCGGCCGTCGCGCTGTCCGTGACGTCGACGCCGTCGTCGTAGAAGGACACGGAGCTCGCGACGGTGCTCTCGCGGTCGAGGTACACGGGGAGCTCCTCCTCCTCGACGACCTCCTTCTCCTCGCGGACGCCGTCGCCGTCGTTTCGCGTCCGTTGCTTCTGGTCGAGGCCGCACAGACCGAGCCATTGCTTTGAGTCGTGCTGGTCCAGGAGGAGGTGGCCCCGCGAACCGAGGCGCGGGCCTCCGCGGGCCGCGCGGGCCGCACGCGCGTCGCTCTGGGACGGCGTCGGGTGGTGCATGATGGAGTGGTACATGTCCTCGGTGCGCTTCTCGCGCAGGACCTTCTTGCGGTAGTCGCGCAGGTAGAGCGACGGCGTCGACGGCGTCTTCGGCGACTTGTCGCCGAGCTTGCCCAGCGACGCGCGGAGGCGGCGCATCGCGGCGCCCGGGCTCTTCGGCGTGAGCTTGTCGACGAGGCGGCGCCGCGGCGTCTTCCCCGCGGACTTCGGGCTCGCCTCCGTCGACAGGCCGGCGGCCGCGGCCCGCGCCGCGCGGAGCCGCGCGCCGACGCGCACGGCCGGGATCAGCGGCGAGAACATGCGCTTCTTCTTGTCCTTGGCCTCGTCCTTGGCCTTGAGGCGCAGGCGCGCGAGCTGCTGCTCGTACCACGACGTCTGCATCAGCTAACGTTGTAAAACGGGCTGCCACCGGCGTTACTTCCGGAGAGCTTCCATCAGCCTTCCCGCAATGCCCCGAAACTCACTCATTCAACTTGCTGATGTTGCTCTTCGATTTAGGCGCGGGGTTCACGCGCGGGTCAGGGCGTCGGGATCTTGAACACCGACGGGGGAGAGGAGGTGGCGTCCGCGTCGTCGCGCGCTGGCGGAGCTCGATGCAGCTCGCCGCGCCGCCGTCCGACGGCGTCGCGCCGCGGGCGTCGGGGATCCGTCCGACGCGTCCGCGCTGGCGGGCGGCGCGCTCACTTCGGGGGCGTGATGCCCGTGGCGATGACGAGGTCCGCCGCGGAGCAGGCCTCGCGCTCCGCCTTGTGGAGCTGGTACTCGTCGGACTCGTAGAAGAGCCGGGCCTTGGACGCGTCCGCGAACTCGATGACGATGAGCGCGCCCTCGGCGCCCTGCTCGCTCTCCATGACGTGGGGGTCGGGCGACTTGCAGAGGATGCGGCCGCCGCGCTTCTTCGACATCTCGACGAGGGGCTCGAGGTGGTCCTGCATGCGCGCGAGCTTGCCGCGGTTGCTGACCTTCACGCGAGTGATCACGAAGCCCTTGCCCGCGCCGGGCGTCGCGGCCGCGCGGCCCTCGGCGATGACGAGGTCGCACTTGGAGCAGCACGCGCGCATGTCCTGCGTGAGCTCGTACTCCGGCGACTTGTAGAAGGCCTTGGCCTTGGCGATGGACGGGAACTCGATGACCGTGAGCAGGCCCTCGGCGCCCTGCGACGACTCGCGGACGTCGAGGTCCGCGGTCTTGACGACGATCTTGCCGCCGAACTTCTTCACCGCGGGACCGAAGGTGAGCGCGTACTCGAGGAACTTGTCCTTGTCCTGCGGGGCGGGGCGGCGGTTATCGTCGAGCGATCGCGTCGGCGCGACCGGACGCGCGCGCGGGTCTCGTATCTCGCGAGCGATGGGCGCTCGCGTCGTCGTCGCCCGGGGTCTAATGGGTTCGCGGCCGGGTGGGGGGTGTCCCCGCGGTCGGGGGCTCCGCGCGTGGTGTTAACCGCCGGGCACGTGCCCCGAGGAACAGTGCCGGAATAGATCGACGGAATAGATCGACGCGGTGTTGCTCGCCTCGATCTTGATGCGCGCCGACAGGAAGGCCGGCGGGGCACTGCCGAAGAACGGGAGCATCGGCATGGTTGGCACGGGACGACTTCGACGGTCCGGCGACGGCTTCTGGTTGTGCAAGTCGAGCGAATTCTGGATCGGGATGGACACACCGACGCCGTCCCACCACCCATCCCCGATCACAAAAAAACCTTACAGCACGGCGTCGTCGTCGTCGTCGAGGTGCTGGGACATGAGCGTGCGAAACAGCGCGCTGTCGGCCGTGTCGCCGCGCGCGGGCGCGGGCGCGAGCGGCGACCGCGTCGGCGACGGCGGGACGTGGAGCGCGGCCTTGCTCAGCGACGCGGAGATGCGCGCCTTGCTCATCCGGAAGCTCGCGCCGACGCGCTCCCCGAAGGTCGGCGTTTCGTCGTCCTCCTCCTCGAGCTCGAGGTCGCCCGCGCGCGTGTGCGCGAGGAAGACGTGCGTCGACGTGTGGTGGATGGCCTCGAGGTCCGCCTTGAGCGCGTTGTGGATCTGCTTCATGGGCAGGTCGCTGAGGTCGTCGCCGTAGGGGTCGTCGAGCTCGAGGGCGATGAGGTGCATGACCGTGAAGAAGAGGACGCCGAGCGTCGTGATGAGCAGGTACGCGCAGATGTAGACCGGGTTCCGCCAGATGAAGAACTTCTCGTGGTGGCCCGACGACAGCTTCATGACGAAGGCGTAGGCCATGGTCTGCGGGAAGATGAAGACCGTGTAGGCGATCTTCAGGATGCTCACGAGGCACTGGAGCGGCAGGGGCAGCGGCGTCGTCTTGATCTTGAGGGACGAAAAGTACTCGAGGAGCAGGTGGCGGTGGTCGTCGTAGGCCGACTCGGCCGCCGCCGTGGGTACGAGGTCGAGGTCGCCGCCCTTGCGCACGAGGTGCGCGAGCCACTGGTGCGTCGCGAGCACCTGCTCGTGGGCCGTGCGGCCGATGACGTCCGCGGGCCGCTTGTCGCCTAAGTCGCGAAAAATTGTCCCGGCCGCCGTCTCACAAACAACCCGAGACGCCGCAAAGTCGCCGCGCGGGTACGTGTACGTCGGCCCCTTCTCGAGGCTCAGCACGACGGCCGCGAAGTAGAGGTCGCAGACGACCTGCGTGGAAATCAAATCTTCAACCCGACTTCAATGTGCGCGTAATCGAACGGTTTAGACCAGACTCTTTCGCCGCGCTTCGAGAACTCGCTGAGAGCAATCGATCCGTCCCAAAATCAGCCGAATCGACTTCGATTTGACCGAGCTCGAGAATTTCAAAGTTTGGTCTGATTTCCGCGCGGCGGACGACGGTGCACTCGTCCAGGAGCAGCTTCTGCTTCGGCGTGCCGCCGTCCGTGCCGATCTGCGAGTGGAGCAGCACGGAGAAGCGCTTCAGCCGCGTCGTCGTCGCGCCCATGAGCGACCGCGCGTCGCTCCAGCGGTTGAAGGCCCACGAGAGGCGGAAGACGAGGAGGAAGCTCAGCGCGGAGCCGATGATCGACAGCGCGAGGGGCAGCGCGGCGACCTCGGGCCAGCCGTGCGTGTCCTTGGGCAACGCCTTGGGGTCCTCGGCGCAGAAGAGGTAGAGCGACAGCAGGCCCAGGCCCACGCCCATGAAGACGATGCCGAGCGAGTCGTGGATGAACTTTTTGCCGTACTGCCAGTAGAGCCGCATGTCCTCGCCGAGGTCGTTGCCCATGCGGTACGAGCTGCGCATCGACTTGTGGAGCAGCACCTTCGTCGCGTTCTGGCGCACGAGCCCGGGCCGCGGCGACGACAGCGGCAGGCTGTGGCGCCGGCTCGCCTCCCGCTGGCCGTCGAGGCTGCCCCGCCGGCTCGCCGACGGCGGCGGCATCGTCTTCGTTTTCGAGCGCACGATCCAACTCCCAGGCGGAACGACTCGCGCTTCGGCGTTTATCGCAACACGTTCAGGAGTCGGAGTGTACTTTGACAAGCAGCAGCATGCCCAAACGAATTTACAGCCGGCAACATCTCTTCAAGGCCGCTGCACGCGCAGCCAGAGTGCAGCCGAGTGCTAAAGGCTGGACCAGCGGTGCGCCCCTCGCGCGCTGCCGGAAGCCAGCAATGCGGCGGTCCCTGAAGGCGTCGCGGAAGGCGGGCAGCGTGAGCCCGCCGCCGCGGGACGAGGGCCACTTCGCCCTCGAGGACGAGGTGACGACGGCGGCCTTCGTGCGGCTCTGCGGCGTCGAGGAGCGGCAGTCCGGCGGGGGGTCGCGGAGCAGCTCGCGCGGCGGCTACCTGAGCTTCGGGAGCCGCCACGCCGGGGAGCGCGAGCGCGAGCCGCGCATGTCGCGCGCCTTCTTCACCGCGCGCGTGCTCGCGGAGCTCGACGGGTCGCTCCCGCGCTACGTCGCGCGCGCGCTCGCCAAGGCCTGCGACCGGGACGGCGACGGCTTCGTCTCCCGGGGCGAGTTCTGCGCGGCTTTGAGGGTTGCGTCGCGGGGGTCCGCCGCGGACCGGTCGCTGCTCCTCTTCGAGTGCGTCGCGCGGCGCGACCGCGACGGCGCCGACGCCGCGGAGCTCTGCGAGTTCGCGCGGCGCTTCCTGAACCACGGCGCGGGTCGGCCCGGCGTGTCGCCGCCGCCGGGCGCGCCCTTGGGCGACCGCGTCGCGCTGGCCCTGCGGGGCGCGCTGCCCCGGGGCTTCGCGAGCCGCGCGCAATTCGTCGCGGCCGCCGAGGACCTCGAGGACCTCGAGCTCGTCGCGGCCTGCTGCGGCCGCGCGCTCTGCCCGTCGCCGGCGGAGGTGCGCGCGGGGTCGTCGCCGCGGCGCGAGGCCAAGGACGACGACGCCAAGGGCGCGGAGACGCCGCGCGGCGGCGACGACCCGGAGGCGCCGCCCGACGAGTCCGCGCCCGAGCGCGTCGCCGCGGACCGGCTCTGGCGGCGCCTGCGGGCGACGTCCGCGTCGGGCGCCGTCGACGTCGCGGCGTTTCGCAACGCCCTGGGGCCGAACGTGAGCCGCAAGGCCGCGAGACGGCTCTTCGAGACCGTCGACGAGACGCGGTCGGGCGTGTTGCACCGCGCGGAGCTCGTGGCGAACCTGGCGCCCCTGTTGGATTCGAGCGCCCCGCCCTCCGAGTTTAGGGACGTCGTGCGCGACGCGGCCTTCGTCTGGGGCGCCGCGCGGCCCGGCGACGTCGGCCTCGAGCGGACGATCGTCGACCGCCTCGCGGCGCCCAGGTTCGGCGACCTGCGCGCGCGGGACCTGAACGTGGGCGAGTCCTGGTTCGTCGTGAGCCGGCGCTGGCTCGACGACTGGGAGACCTACACGGACACCGCGCGCGCGGCCGCCGCGGCCGCCGCGGGCGGCGACGGGACGACGGGCGACCTCAAGCTCTGGAGCCTCCAGGCGCCCGTGGCGTCGACGCAGACCTTGGAGTTCGCCGGGTCGACGCTGGGGTTTACCTTGGGCCTCATGGGCCACAGCTCGCTGCGCGTGCGCCACGTGAAGAAGACGTGCCCGCACGAGGCGCGGTTGGACGTCGACGACGCGCTGACGCACGTCAACGGCGAGGCCCTCGTCTTCCCCTTTGGGGAGCGCGACTTCACGGAGCTGCTCGTGCGCCTGAAGACGGCGCCGCGGCCCTTGTACCTCGCGTTCCTGCGGGGCGACGGCGTCGCGACGCGGCCGCGACGGGGCACGTGCGACAAGCCCAACTCGGTGGCGAACGGGTCCTTGATCATCGGCGACGACCTGCGCGTGCCGCGACTGAGACGCGACGCCCAGCTCGGCGTCGACTACGAGGTGCTGCGCGAGGACGCCTGGCGGGCGCTCGAGGCCTGGTACGGCGCGGACGGCGCGATCGAGCGGTCCGTCGCCGACGTCGGCGGCGACGCGCTCGAGCTCGAGCTCTACCCCATCTTCGTCGACGTGCTCGACGACAAGGAGGAATTGGTGGAGACGCTGCAGATCAGCGCCCACGAGACCCTGGGCCGCGTCGACGCCAAGGTCCGGAGCTGCCTCGCGAAGGCCGACGACGACGGCGAGCAGAAGACCGACGAGCGCCGCGCCTTGCTCAAGGCCGGCGCCGGCGGCGAGTTCCGCACCCTGGAAACCTCGGAGGAGACCCTGGAGAACGTCGTCGGCGGCGAGGACCGCGCCTGGGCACGATTGGAGCCGCGGGAGGAGGAGGGCGCGGTCCCGGCGCCGAAGAAGAAGCGGTGGAGCTTCACGTCGACGTCGCGGTCGCACGGCGACCCCGACGCGAAGGACGGCGCGGCCGTGGCCGCGCGGGACGCGGGGCTCTGCAACCTGGGCAACACGTGCTACATGAACGCCACGGTGCAGGCGCTCTGCCACGCGCCGCCGATCCGCGACTACTTCGCGAGCGGCGAGTACGCGTACGACGTCAACGTCGACAGCCGCTACTCGCCCCGCGGGGCGCTCGCGGCGTCCTTCGGCGATCTGGTGGCGGCGTTGGCGACGCGCAAGGGGCCCGTGGCGCCCCACAAGTTCCGCCGCGTCGTCGGCAAGTTCGACGCGACGTTCGCGGGCTACGGGCAGCAGGACGCGTTCGAGTTCGCGTCGAAGCTCCTCGAGGGGCTCGGCGACGACCTCTCGGGCATCGGCGACGGGAGCAAGCCCTACCTCGAGAACCCCCAGGTCGTCGACGGCCGCTGCGACCTCGACGGCGTCGTCGATTCGGAAAACGCGAAGGTCCGCGAGGTCCCGGGCGACCCGTCGGCGACGGAGCGCGCGGTCGCGGACGCGTGCTGGACGAACGCGGCGCGGCGCGAGGACCACTTCGTGACGACGGCGCTGACGGGCCAGACGCGCGCGAAGCTCGACTGCAAGGAGACGGGCGAGTCCCTCGTGCTCTACGAGCCCTTTACCGCTCTGTCCGTGCCGCTGCCGCACAGCGCGCCGCGCTTCGACGTCCACGTCCGCGTGAGCCTCGCGTCGAACCGCAACTGGCCCGTGGACGTGCGCGTGAGCCTCGCCGACGCCAAGGACGAGGGCGAGGCGAAGGCCGCCGCGGCCTCGTTCCGCGGCCGCGCGCGGAGCCGCGGCGACAAGCGCGGCGACGCGAGTTACCCGACGGTCGGCGACGTTCTGGACGAGCTCTGCGCGCTGGACGATCTGGTGACGGCCGACGGCGACCCCTGCGAGGCGTCGCTGGGCGAGTCGAAGCGCGAGCTCCCCGCGGGCGAGCGGCTGGATCGCGCGACGCTGGTGGCCGGCAGGGTCGACGACGACGACCCGTCGGCCATCGCGCAGCTGTTGGACGATGATGATCGATTGGACCTGGCGCTCCGTCGAGGTGCGCCGGGCGTGCGCCTCGTCGTTTTTGAAGTTGTCGACGTCGCCGCGCGAGACGTCGTCGTCGCCACGCGCGACGACGGCGCGAAG